AGGAACATGTTTTTTCAATACTAACATTTCATTTGGTACTGTCCATTTGAGTTTTCTTAAATATTCATCCCTTCTCAGTTCATTGTCTGCAAAGTAAGTTTTTATGACATTTTGCAAACTTTCGTTTGCAAGGTCATGTACAATAGGTTCTCTTCCTTCTATCTCCCTAACTTTCTTTCTAAACTCTTCACCAAATATACCATCTCTATGGTTCTGTGTAGTTTCTTTGAGATAAATGTTCTAGAACGTCAGGTGTTATATTTCCCTCAGCCATGTTCATTTCATACTGGTCCAAAATATCTGCATGTTTCATATCTTTCAATGGCATTAAAGCCGCGCTGAAAATACCAGCTATATCTGGTTCACCATTCACTTCCATTGCGTCTACAACTTCTTGGAATTGTGGTTGTAAGTTTATGAACCACCTATCCGGATTAGCTTTATGACCCCATCTCATTGTAGTTCCATAGTCTGCAGAAACAAAAGTAGGTTTGTTTCCATATTGGTTAGGTTCTGAATGAACTTTAAACAATGTTTCATTTCTATATGTTTTGTTGAAATTTAACCTTTTATTTTCACCGAGTTCAGCCAAAGATTGAACGTTATATGGTCGTAAGTAAAAAGGATTGTTGTATTTGCGTACATTTTCTTTCAGTACTTCCATTCTATGCTGAATATTTTCATCTGATGTTGGAGTCTTTTGTATGTCGGCGAACATTTTTCGATATTCTTCTACTATGTCAGCCGAATTTTTCTTAGACTCTTGGAAAGATTCCATATTCTCCGCATACTCTTGTTGAGGGTCAAGATTTTTCGGCTGTTCCAAATCTTCATCTAGTTCTGTGAAGTTAGTTTCCAAAGGAGGGACTTGTTCGTTTCCTTCAGGCTCTTCTAGCTGTTGTTGCTGAACTATTTCTTCCATGTCTGGTTGTATTTGAACTTCTTCCTGTGGAGTTTCTTGTACCTCATCTGCTGGCATTTCATATATTCCGAGACCGTTTTTAACAAGTTCCCTATTTAAGCCATCCGCATTCATAACCCTTTCTTCTTTCGTTCCGTCTCTATTTTTTACGCGTTTCATGAAGATAGTTGAATTATCATTTATCTCTGACACCAAATATCTCGGAGTAAATTCATCCATGTCATTTGGATGATATGCTATTAAATCATATCCCTTAGCGAGCTTGTATTTTCCAGGTTTGAAATTATATCCCATTTGGTGCTGAACCATAAAGCTAAATAGGTTCGGGTCAGTATTTCCTTCCTTGAACTTTCTAATAGCTTCTTTATATCTGTCACTAAAGTCAAGAGTATCTGGGTAACCATAATTTTCCTTAAGCATTTTTAAGAATTCTTGGTTTCCTTGTTCTCTACTTCTTTTATGTCCTTGCTCTGTTTGTGGTGCAGTGTTTTGAACTGTTGGTTGTGGTGCAGTGTTTTGAACTGTTGGTTGTGGTGCAGTGTTTTGAACTGTTGGTTGTGGTGCTGGATTTTGAACTGTTGGTTGTGGTGCAGTGTTTTGAACTGTTGGTTGTTGTGTTGGTTGTTGTGTTGGTTGTTGTGTTGGTTGTTGTGTTGGTTTTGGTGCATGCCTGTGTCTGTGTCCATGTGACGATGTAAATGTTTTAGGTAGTCCTGGTGCAGGTGCTTCTCTTGGAGGGTTTGGTGGTATATAAGTTCCACCAGCTGGCACATATGTTCCATCTGCAGCACATAATGTCCTACCTGACTTTTTCGTTTTTAAGAAAGCATTTACTAGGTCTGTTTTGGTCTGTTGTAACTCTTTTTCTTGACTTTCCACAACAGTTGCTCTAACGGCGTCATAGGCACTTTGAACTGCCTGTCTCGTTGCTGCATCTGTTATTTTCGTCATATTTTGTGCTACTTCTCTTAACTCTTTGTCGAAACCTTCAGACTTCAGTTTCTTTCCAGATGAGAAGTCGTTCACTAGTTTCACCTTACTATGAAGAGCTTCGAAGGCGTTCTTAAAGTCAGCATTCATTAAAGCTTCATTTGAACTGTCTTCATCCGCTTGTATTTTTGTCCTTATTGACCCTATAAGTTGGGCTGCTTTGGCGTTGGCTTGGGCATCTAACCAGTCATTATTAGCTTTTATATATTCTGCGCTTTTCATTGCCTTTTGCATGGCTGCGTCGTTATTTTTACTTTCTTGTGCTAAGTTTTCATACTGTACGGTTTGGTTTTGCAACTGTAAAAGTTTTTCTGCCTTTACATTTGCTTCAACTTCTTTTTTATACTCATCGCTATCCATATATGTCTTCAGGGCTTTTTGTTTTATTTCTTCATCTTTCAGTACTTTATATTGAGTAGTATGGTTTTTCAAATTTATAACATCTTGTTCCATTTTTGCTACTTCTGCTGCTTTTTCTGACACTTTTTTCGCATATTCCTCTGTACTTAGTTCTTTCAGTTGTTCTTCTTTCTTCTTTTTCTCTACGTTTAACTCATTGAGTTTCTTTGTGTGTCTGTCATATTCTAGTTTCTTTTCGTTTTCACTTATTTGTTTCTGTATGTCTATGTTTGACTTTTTGACATCTGTTATTTGATTTTTGAGTGAACTCAAATTCATTTGACTTTGAGGGTTATAAGCTGTTCCGTCTGCAGCTCCACCATAGCCTGCCATTTTCGCTAAAAGTGCCGCTCTTAAACCTCCACTCTGTGCACCAATAACTCGGTTTAAAAGCATAGGGTTGCTTGACATTTGTTGCAACATAGTGGGGTCATTCATCATTTGTTGTTGCAACTGTTGTTGTGGTGTCAGTTTTACTATTGGATGTTTCAATGCTCCCTTCCTCTTACGTATATTCTTACGTAGCTTACGTGGCATTTTAAGTGAAGTAAAAAACGGTTTTTGACAGATGTTTATATGACACTTTTTGTTCAGCACAAAAAACTACTCGGTCAAAGTGTTGTCAGTTTTGTAAAATAACCGTCCTATCTCATTCTATAAGGGGAAAAGGCTTCTCAAAGTTTACTTCCGTGGAACGCCTGTAACTTTTCCTGTAGCGACGATAGACCCTTACTTGTCCGGACAAAGTTATACTAAACATCTTCAGGGCTAGAGGGCACGAAGTGCCTGGAGGCCCCACTACCTTTTTTTTTTTTTTTTATTATAAAAAAGAAAAAATAAAGCACGTTAAAATTTTTCTTTCTTGATTTTTTACAAAATCTACTTAGAATTATGCAAAATATGACTAAATAATTATAAATTTCAAGTTAAATTTTAATTTTGATAAATAATTTAAATTTCAAAATATCAAGTTCAGTTCGACTATGTATGTAGTAATTCCTCAATAAAGTGCCAAAACCCTATTAAAATATATGAACATTTTCAACATTTTAATGTTTTTATTTAAAAATTTGATGGAATATGAGCTTCAAACAATTATTATGTAAATAAAAATAATTAAATATATGTATTTATTCGTATTACAACCGTAGTAAGTCGATTCTTCCTTTCTTCTACTGAGTTTTGAATTTGATTTCGAATTGTAAAGAGATTCAAAGGGAAAATACTAGCGGATAAAAACTACCTCCATGAAAGGGTCATAATGGAGTCAAGTTGTATTTTTTGATATTTTTTGCTTTTCGAGCCTAAATAGGTAGCCAAGATAATGCCTAAAAATAAGGTTCTAAATTCTGAAGTTTACATGATCCTCTCGTGTGCACCCTTAAACATTGAGATAAAAATCAAGAAAAAAACTATATTTTATATCGTTCTTTTCTCCCGGCTGGGTTCTCGCTTATGGGGCCGGGGTCTCTCAATTTCTGTATAGTTCCCCGCTTTTTGCAACCTTAATTTAGTTTAAAAGTCCTCATTTATTTTATTGATTAAAATTATCAAGATATCGAAGGGATGAATTGGATGAAAAATGGAACAACAGAGGCATAATGTGATTTTCTACTTATTTTAATATTAACTATTTGGATTAGAGAAATTGTTCATAGGTGTAAGGACGAGGATTTAGAGATAAAGTAAGGAATATGTAAAGAAGAAATAAAAGTGGTTTAAACCTTATTAATTAGTATGGTGAGATTCAAAATTATTGGAAGTATATCTCGACATTGTAAGATATAGATGTTTTATTGGGGTGAATTTATGAGCAAGTATCCTTTTACTGTTTTATATTTAATATTTTTCAATCAACTGTGAAGGTTCCATAGTGTAATGGCTATCACTGGGGACTCTGAATCCCTAAATCCAGGTTCGATTCCTGGTGGAACCAAAATTTTTCTTTTTTAATCTTTCACGCAATACATCTAGTATCTTGGTAAATAGAAAGAATTCAGGTAAAACATATCTATTTCCATTTTTAGAAAACATTTCCCTGTTATTGTTATTATTATATTTAATTAAAATTCAATTTAATTTAAAATCCTTAAGCAAGATTAGGAAAATCTAGATCCGTTTAAAATTAAATTTAAGCAAGCTATCATGCAATGACAAATACCAAGGACTTATTATGAAATATAAAAAAAATAAATACAATCATTAAGTTTTGGAAGTTTAGTATGAATGACAAAATTGGCTGTATAGAAAATATTAATTCGATAAGGTTTTGAATCTCATCACCAAGTAATTATTCAAGATATCATTCTTTTTTGTTGAAAATAAAGAAGATTGTAAGGATATGCGTATTTTTATAATGCATACTGAATTTCAACTTTTAGGATTAGGTGTTTAAAAGAGCAATAAAAATAAACAAAATTAAGGAAGAAAAAAGCAAATATTCGACTCATTGAAATAGATTTATACCACCACAGCACATATATGGGTTCCTTCCACTGCATGTGCACGGATTATTGTTGCAATAATCATCATCTTTTTTGTTGCGTTGTTGTTGATATGAAGAATTCGATGTGCTTTGCTGATTCTTTTGATTCGATTGTGTTTGCTGTTGGTTTTGAGAACGAGATATATTTTGGTAAGAACTCATCAAAAAAAAAATTCAAAAATGTCACTTTTAAAAAAAAATACCATGATTGATCTGATGAGCAATGATTATCTAAAGCAATATGATGAATTCATAGATACGTACCATGGGCTCTTTCATTTGCAATCAACTGCTTCTCTCGAGGACGTTTTACATTTAATTGATTCTGTTCTGATTTCCAAATATCAAATGCATATAACTGACTTGGTTTCAAGCTTGTTCGTAGCTATTCAATTCAATTATCGATCTGTTCGACTTTATTTGAATATTATCAATCAAATCTTTACTAAATACACTTTTTCCACATCCGAATATAATGTTTTGCGCCGAACATCTGATCAAATAAACATAAATATTGCCCCAAATTCTAATAACGTTTATAAAGTTAATTTAGACTTGAAAGAATTCCCAAAAGAAGATGAAATCGAATATATAATAATGTATGATCAAATCGACAGATTTATGAGAAACATAACTGAAATAGCAATTGATAATATTTACATAGATGTTTTTAACTTCCCTCCTCTTTCAGCTATTGAAGCTGCAGCTTATTTTGGATCAGTGAACATTTTCTTTTTCCTTCTTTCAAATTTAAACAAAAAAATAACGCCACAATGTCTTCAATACTCATTAATTGGAGAAAATACCGACATCATCAATGAATGTTTAAAAAAACATGAAATTGATGAGGCCTGCTTATATTGCACTGTTAGATCTCATAACGATGAATTCTTGAAATATATTATAGAACATGATATTTGTGATATTAAAGATATTGAGACTTCTGCAGTTATTCTCTCACAAAACTTGAAAGCACTTTTCCTTATGTTCGAGAAAGATAAGAATTCAATAATTCCATGGTGTGCAGCAATTCCGCAATCACTCGAAATTCTCAAGCACAATGATTTCGATTATGCATATATAGATCCTGTCTTAGGAACTCTTCTTAGTGTTGCAACTACTTACAATAATTATGAAATTTGTAAATTATTATTAGAAAATGATGAAGTTTGCAAAACAATAATTAATCTAAGAAGTAATTTAGATAACCCTCCTTTGCTTTATGCAGTTAAGAATAACTATATAGAAATCGCTAAGCTTTTAATATTAAGAGATGCTGATTTGAACGCAAAAGATCTTGCGGGACAAACTGCTCTCCAAATAGTGTCCATATATAACTGTAAAGAAATTGCGGGGTTTCTAATTTCAAATGGTGCAAATATTAATGAAAAAGAAATCAAAACCAAAAAATCTGCAATTCATTTTGCGGCTGCTAACAATTCTGTAGATGTATTAAATATTTTAATTACAAATGGAGCAGATGTCAATGATAAAGCAAAAGAAAAAGCTACGCCACTATATTTTGCTATATTAAGTCACCACAAAGAAGCCTCAAAATTTCTTATTTCTCATGGTGCTGATATCAATTTCAAGGGTAAATATGGAATTACTCCTCTTATTTTTGCAACACGTAGGAATTTGAAAGAGATTGTAGAACTACTAATTTCAAATGGTGCAGAAATAAATGCGAAAACTGATTTAGGTTTGTCAGCATTGCATCATGCAGCTTCTCAAAATTATAAAGATATTGCAGAATGTCTTATTTTGCATGGTGCAAATGTTAATATTAAAGATAATGGTGGTCATACTCCTCTTTATTACGCAGCAGGAAACAATGGTAAAGATGTTGTTATACTACTTATCTCATATGGCATAAACGTTTATAATAAAGAAGATATTAATTCTAGTCTTTTCATTGCAGTAGCCAAAAATAATAAAGAAATAACTAAAATTCTTATAGATAATGGTGCTGATATTAATACAAAAGATACACATGGACTTTCAGTTCTTCACATCGCTGTGCAAAAAATATTATCACAAAATTACAGAATTCCTTATTTTGCATGGAGCAAAAATCAATGCTCAAGATAATAAAGGACGTACAGCTTTACATCTTGCAGCTAGAAATCATTCTAAAGATATAGCTCGGCTCCTACTTGACAATCACATTGATGTAAATATAAGGGATAAAATGGGAAAAACGGCATTTCAAGTTGCATTGAATTCAGATAGCAGAAACATAGCTGCATTACTTATTGAATATGGAGCAGAAGTCTATACAGAAAGATGCTCTTCAGTATGTAGAATTAATTAGAAAGTTATATATTTCGTATGTGATTAGTAATCGGATGTGTACAAATAGCAAACTGTGTTTAAATTACTCTTAAATATGTTAAAATAAATATTGATTTTTTGATATTTTCAAGTAATAACAAAATTTTGGTTTACGTATTATTTTCATGTATTTTTGTTTATGATACTACCACTATTGATAGTTAATATCTTTAATAGTTAAAAGCAAAATTATATTAGGGTTTATGATAAAAATATGAGTGCAAAATATTTTAATGTGATTCATATTCAGCAAGAGAATATCCTTTTTTTCATTCGCAGATCAAACTTTCTTTCAATTTCCTGTAATTTGTTCGTAATTTACGAGTTATAGAATTGGCAAATGTAATTCTAGTGTGAGTAACAGATAAAATTGAAAATAAATGAATAATAGAAGAAAAATGAAGAAAATTATATTTCCTGTAATGTTTTTAGAAGCATAATTGAAAGAATATGCATTCACTTAGATTGTATCAGATATTCTGCACAGCATAAATTAAGGGTTTCGTTTTGCGAAAAAAACGTACAATACGCAATTTCGCTAAAAAAACATTTAGCTAGCAATTTCGACCTTTGACTCCACTCAAGACGTCACTTTTTTAATTTTGCGGTATCATATTTTTGGAAAATCTTTATGAATATTATATAAAAAGTCTCTTTAATATCTATATTTCATATTTTTATCGATTTTTAAAGTTTTTGCGAAAAGTATTCAATTATTTTTGCTATTTGGTCGGGTAAATGTCAGATTTGCGACATTTTCTGATATGATATTCAGATTCTACGTTGATAATAATGCTTATAGAACCCTCTTGCTATTGTGTCAAAATTGCGAAACCGATAGCAAAAATATCTCGCAATATCAAAATTGAGATATTGAGTGAATTATGCATTATAGAGATTAAAAATCTGATTTGTGAAAACATCTCATCAGTTTCTAGCTAATTCAAAATCTTTACTATCTTATTCGATTAAAATGAAAAGGGAATAGTTTCATTATGCTTTAAATGACAGCCTTATAATATAATCATAGTTTTCGCTCAATATGCAGCATTTTTCTTTCGAAATCTATGGTCAATATCCTAAATACTGATTGCTTTGCATTCATATCTCTTACATTTTCTATACCCACATCACTATTCATTGCTATTCCTATCTTTTTCATTTTTGTTTGTTTCTCATAATTTCTCAAAAAACATGATAACTTGATATTTGTAAATATCATACTTTATACGTAAATAAGAACTTGACCTATTAAGAAAAGCAGTAATGAAAAGAAAATCTGAAATTCATAAAAATTACAAGTTTCTGATGACAATTAGCTTAATTAAACCAGGTACAAGATTATATAATTGTATTTTCTATCCAATTATCCATATAATATCTTATCCAGAAAAAATAACTTGATCAATACCAAATGATTTTTTAACTAGTAAATAAAGTATTTTCTTTACACACACATTGTATATCATAGTTTTTTTTTGGTTTCGCAAAACATCCAAAAACAAATATGCTATAAAAGTGACAATTTTAGCAAAACGAAACCCTTACATAAATCGAATTTGATCCAGATCGTCTTCAAAAATCGATTGATTATCCATTGTTTTGGATTGTAATGCAACAAATCAGAGGTTAGTCAGTAAAGTAATGACGAATGTGAGATATAAATACATTTTTGAAGGAATGTAGCTTTGTGAGGTGATTCGATTTTGAATCAAGAATGTAAACGCATTCAATTTGGAAATAGCGAAAATTCCCAAAGTTAAAAATTATAACATATGAATTAACCTGAGCAAAGATACTCAAAAATTATTTCAAATGGGCTCAATGTGAAGAAAAATTGTGTTAAAAAGGCAAATAATTAATTTAAAAACATGTCCTCTCAATGTATAAAAACATTGAGAAACGATTCACGCAAATCTCCTGACAAAATTGAGGTGAACTTCAACGATCAAAACCAACACAAAAATTGAGAGGACGTGTGTTGGTCGTAAGATGGAAGATAGTCAGCAGGATCTTGGTGGCCAGTACCATTTCATCCGCCAGATTGGTCAAGGAACAACTGGAAAAGTCAAGCTTGCATTTGATAAAGTCAATAACAGGCATGTTGCTGTCAAAATCGTTAAAAAATCTTTATTCCAAAACAGACCAAATTTGGAAGTAAAAATTCAACGTGAGATTGCATTAATGCGTTTAGTTGATCATCCTCATTTGCTCAAACTCATAGATATCCTCGAATCTCCCCGTCACCTTTATATTGTTACCGACTATGCCGTAAAAGGAGAATTATTCGACTATCTAGTACAGCACCGTTTCCTTCCTGAAGATGTTGCGATGAACTTTTTCAGACAAATTATTTATGGTCTGGAATATCTCCACTCTTTAGGCATTTGCCATCGTGATCTTAAGCCAGAAAACATTCTCCTGGATGAGAATCTTAATATTAAGATTGCCGATTTTGGATTCGCTCGTGTTGTAAAATCAAATATTGCTTCAACATCATGTGGATCTCCACACTACGCTGCTCCCGAAGTCATTAAGGGAGAGCCATACGATGGTCGTGCTGCTGATGTCTGGAGCTGCGGCGTTATTTTATATGCCCTTTTGGCCGGATTTCTCCCATTCGATGACCCCAACATCAGAGTCCTTCTTGGCAAAGTCAAAAGAGGCTTATATACAATGCCGCAATTTCCAACCCGCGTCAAGGACTTGATCCGTGGAATGTTGACAATTGATCCAACAAAGAGAATCTCAATAGCCCAGATCAAGGCCCATGAGTGTTTCCGTGGAGATATTAACCCAGAATACGTATTCCCAACACCATTACCTTTATCCTCCTACAATATTCCAATTCCTACAGAAAGAATTACACAAGAAGTCATTGAGACCCTTCTCAAAATCGGCTATCCCGATGCTGATGATCTTATGGAGGAATTGACTAACCCACAGCCTGCTATCTCCAAGATATTCTTCCATCTTTGTACATCTCGACTTGCACTCGATCAGATCGACTGGTCACAGTCAGCATCTGGAGTTGCATCTCATAACCTTACAGACAACGCTCTCATCGTAGAACCAGCCAACCAAGCCTTCCAAATCGTCGGTTCTGAGATGTTCCACCGCCACGCTCTATTGGCACAGCCAGCATCTCACAGAGGAGAGCCAATGTCCTACGCCAAGAAGGCCGAATGGGATTTGCCAGAGCCAGAAAACATCGAATACGAACACGTCAACAACATCGACGTTACAGGAATGCCACTCGTTTATACAATGCTCGCTGTACAGAGAACAGTCAGAGCTCTCGGAATGCAGTGGTTCCATCCAGATGATTTTACAATTATTTGCAGACATCTCGACATGGGAATATACGTCAGTGTTCAGGTTAACGTTGTCAACGACAAAGCACTCGCTACGACCTACTTAATGGAGGGAACTCCAGAAACATTCACCGCGTTCTGTACAGCCTTAGAAAATGAAATCCTCGACATGAAGGATCTCATTAACGAGGGAACAAGCGATGAAGAAGATAGCGATGATAACGACAACCAGGTTATTGACGAAGATAACGGATTTATTTGATTTATTTTATTATATTTAAGACTAAGGTCTGTTGTATAAAAAATTATGTGTTAATTAATTTACATTTTCATTGTTTTTTCTTAAAAATATTATTATTTATTTAAAAAATTGAAAAATACTCATAGATTTTAATAGAAAAATATGTTAAATACATAAATTAATATAATTCTACTGATTTATTTTTCCAAAATTTTTTCATTTTTCTAAAAATAATGATAAAATCAAAGAATTTTCAAAATATTTTCTGATTTTCGAATTTTTTTTGGAAATTTTTGAAAGCATAAAAGCACCTAAATCCAATAAATATAGTTTAAGGAATAATAAAAATGGATAATTTTTATAGATTTAATAAGTAAAAAAAGAAAATCAATTATTTTTATGTGAAATAGTGAGGGACAAAGTCCTGTGGCTTCTGAGAGCTAATTTCTGGAACTTCCTTGAAGATACGGAGTTCGCGGTTAAGCTGAGCGTCTAATTTCATAACAGAAGCGATGTTTCCTGTTCTATAACCGTAGTTAGGAGCTGACCAAACAGTAATAACCTTTTCATCGAATTTATATTCGTAGCCATCCATAACAAGTTGATGAGCACGAGCAATGAGATTAATCTTGTTGTTTTGGCAGAAAATATTTGTCTGTGGCTGACCGAAAAGCCATCCAGCACCACGAGAGCTGACACTCCAGCTCTGAACTTCGTCAGGATCAGACCAATAAAGATCAGCAATGGCGCCGTTGGTTGGAATTTCGATTTGACGATCGCAGAGCGAGATTTGTTCGATAAGGAGAACTTCGGGTGAGAGACCTCCATGGACGCAGAAAATTTTATCTTCGATTACAGCTGCCATTGGAAGAATATCGAATGTTTCCTGGCAGAGGTTCCAGATACCTGCATGACCGTAGTTCTGAACGCATTCATTGTAAAAACCGTACTGTTTGCTGACTTGGCGGCATTCGTGATTTCCTCTAAGGAGGCAAATTTGTGTTGGGTACTTAAGTTTTAATGTGGCTAAGTACATGAATGTTTCAAGTGAGAAATAGCCGCGATCAACATAATCTCCGAGGAAAAGGTATTTTGTATCAGCTGGATCTCCGGAAATACGGAACAATTCGAATAAGTCAAATAACTGTCCGTGAATATCACCACAAACTGTGATTGGTGCATTTAATTTGATAACATTTGGCTCTTCGTAAAGAACTTCCTGCAATTTCCTTAAGATCAAGATGATGCATTTCTCATCAAGATGCTTACCGGCTCTGAGGTGTTCAAGAACTTTGTCGTAATCTCCAGCGTTCATTTTTTTTATAAAAAAAATTTTTTTAGCGGCACTTTTTTTCTCCCATCACCTCTTTTTACTTTATAAATCTAATATACTCTAATAATACATTAATTTTTGTATAACAACTATAAAGTTATTTGCAATTTTTCAAATCCAAATCTCTGAATCATCAAGATATTTCAAAATTAATAATCATAAAATAATAAACACAAAAGTATACAAAGAATTAAGTTATATTCAATAAATTTATTGAAAAAATTGAAATCAAAAATGAAAATTGTTTTTAAAAAGAGCATGTTTATGAAGAAAAAATTATGGATATGTTATTGATATTAGTATTATGTGATAAAAACTTATGATATCATAAACTCAGACGTTTTTTTTTGACAGGAAATGGAAAAGGCGTCTGAAATTGCTGAGACTCATGCCTTAGCAAGAGGACGCCACCCAATGTACTCCACTATCTGTCAAGAAAACTCCATGGGATGGAAACGTGATGGATTAGTTGTAATTTCTGATTATTCACTAGATTTATATTCACCAGATGGACTTACATTCAAAAAAGAATATGTATGGCTTGGACTCATGAAAATATCACGTGAAAAAGAGAGAATCAAGCTAAAATTCGAACAAGGAAAAATTCAATTAGAATCATTTACAAATGCAGCGCAAATATACCAAACGATTGTTTACAACTTACTGAATCTTTTCACAGTAAATCAACTAAATCAAGTCGGATTAAATGAATTTATTTCAGAGAAACCAAATCCATCAAAGAGAGCATGCTTACTACGCCTAAAGCAATATTCCGAGTTAAGACTACTTCCTTATCCCAAGAAAATCGAAAATTTGCTAAATCGCTTTTTCGTAACTAATGAAACAATTATTCGGATTCCAGACAAAGACTACAAGATGCTGTACCTCAAATACATAATGAAAAGTATATCATTCTGCTTACCTTTCAAAGGACTGATATTTCCACCGAATAGAAACGAAATAATCGCGGATTACTTAACAGAAAAGATCGACAAGATCAGATTACTAGAATTTATATCTCTAGAAGGAAAAGCTCGTCATTTTTGTAAATTTTTTGACACTTTTTCTCATGTTGATGTAACTAAAATATGCGGAATAGAATTGTCAAACTCATGTTTACAGCCAAAGCATATGGCTTCGCTATCCAATTTTTGCGATGTTAAGTCAATTGTTTCACTTTCACTTCATAACGCGTTTTCTCCAGAAACGAAGCTTTCGTTTTACACAAACTTCTTTACAGCAAACATGATGATGAATTTAGCATATTTAAATCTTGATAATACGCCTCAATTAGATTTAATCAATTTAATTCCGAATGTTCCGCGTCTTGTTTACTTTTCTGTTGCCAATTGTGATCTTCTTATTGAAGATATCATCCACATTACTCAATTACCTCTTTTAAGAACTCTTGACGTAAGTTTTAATAAATGTGACAGATTTCCACCGAATGCAATTCAATTTCCGAAATCATTAACGAAATTGAAGGCGAGTGGTGTTACTTGGGCTGAAGGAACTCTTGTAAATATGTTCAAAGTGATTTCATTGAGAAAAGAACTTGGATTACACATTGATTTATCGAAAGCCAAAGTCCAACAAGATGAATTCGAGAAGTTATCAACAGAATTTGATCAAAGCTTGAATTTTCCGTTGATTTCTTTAAATTGGAATTCAAATCCAGTTGGATTTAGTTTTTTCGAGTACCTTCGGAAATCCACGTGCTTAAAGTCTCTTCATCTTGATGGAATCTTCACGGAAACCTCTCCAGAACTCGATTTACTTTGTCATTTCATCAAAATTACGACTTCTCTTCATTATTTGTCCATTCAAGGTAGCGAAGAAAGATTTCTGGCATCATCAGTATCCAAAGTAGTCGCTGCTTTAGCCAAAACTTCGATAAAAGAAATTGATTTATCGAATAATAAAATTCCTGATGAATCATTAGTGAAAATTGGTGATCTATTCTCTCCGAAATCGACATTACAGGTCGTTGCATGCGATAATAATCATCCAGCGACGTACGATTCGATAGTTACATTATTAGAAACGGCAGGAGGCAGTTTAAAGACGAATTTCCTGTTTCCCATCGAAGATTTCATGGAACTGAAAGCGAAAAACAAAATTCCGAAAGAAATTTACGATCAAACTTTGACAAACTTCAAAAAACCGGAAGAAATCTCAACATTTTTGAGCCAAAACATCAATATACCAGAGAAATCACCATATATAAAGCCATTCCTTTTAACAACTAAGCGTAAAAAGGAAAAAACTCTTTATATTTCTCGAGAAAAATCAGATTCAATGAAAGATATTCCAAAAGACAAATTCCTGACTTCTAGGATATGCCAGAGCTCAAGTTTTGCACTGATGGATAGCGCAAGTGTAATAATTCAGCTTCCAGAGGATAAAAAAACAATTTCCCAACAAATGTCAGATTTTGTCAGCGAATATCATATGTCCAACTCTAGATTGGACAGGTTCTCCACCGATGATGAGATCAGGAAGGTTTCTACTGACGACGAAATGAAAAAAATTTCTGATGACGAAATTAAAAAAATTTCAATGGATGATGAATATTCTCCAAGGAAGAAATCAGTCAGAAACTTCGATTCTGTCCTTATTTCGCCAAGTAAGAAGAAAACAAATGAATTTTCTTTGGATCAAATACAATCTTCTCCGAAAAAGAAGAAAAAACAAGAGCCAGATAACCAGGAACAAGAACAAAAGAAGAGAGAACGAAAGAAACCAAAAGTTGAAAAACAAATCGATGAAATTCCAAAGAAAACTAAAAAACAAAAGAAATTAGAGGAAGAATACGATGATGAAGCGGATATAAATGAACAAGAAGTTATCCAACAGCCTAGAAAGAAGAAGAATAGAAGAATAAAGCCAGAAACAGAAGAAAAACTCCAAATAAATACAGAAATTTACAAAATTAGGAATAAAACAGCACCAAGTTCACCAACAAAGCAGAGACCACAACAGTTAGTAATAGAAAATACTAATAATATGCAGTATTTCGAAGTTAAAGAAGAAAATCCAAGAAATGAGTACAAATTACGTTCTCCTACATCACAAAGGATCAAGAAACAAAGGAGATCATCATATAATGAGCCAAACAACCACAAATCAAATGAAATTCCTCAAGAAAATTATCCAAAACAAAATTTGTTCCCAGAACCTTTTGTTTCTGGTGTAGGAAGGGTACAAACACCACCTTATTCATATTCTGAGACAGAATCCACGTATTCCTACTATTCTCGTCCTTATTCGTATTCAGTTTCATATTCTCCTCAACCTCATCATCATCGGAGCGTCATTTCCCATCACCATCACGAAAATCATTCAAGGAGAGACGAAAGATACTATCATAATGATGATTTTCCCCATCATAATGAAAAAATACCAACAAAAAGTGACAACCATCACCAAAATGAATTTTTAAGGAGAATACATGGGGAAAGTCCTCACCATGAACATTCTCCACGACACCAGGAGTTTTCACCACACAGGCAATATCAATCTCCACGAATGAACGAAATTTCTCCAAGATATCAAGATTATTCACCACATAGACATGAAATATCACCACACCACCATCATCATGATGTTGTCCATGAACATAGATCACAGAGTCTTTCAAAGAGAAGTCCAAGACAACCAGATTTACCAAAAGTTCCGAAAATGAGAGCTGCAAATGAAGAAGACTTAATGCCAATCAATCCTTATATGAGAATATCAGATGAAATATACGAAAAAGCTAATATATCTCATCAAAATGACAAAAGCAGATTCGATGAAATAATTCAGCCTCCGAAACCATTGGAAGAGATGACTGCAAGGCAGAAATTAGAAGCTTTGATGGAAAAGAAGGAAGAAAGACCACTTGAATCTCATGCTTCTTTCGGATCAAGAATAAGAAGATTAATGAATCAATATTAAACAATTTGTTATTTGTTTGTTATGTTTTACTAATCAATTATCTATTTTTTTCATAAGATCTCAAATTGATATTGAAATGTTTTGATTTAAGAGCCAATTAAGTGAAATTATTAAAACGTAAAGCTTAAGTAACTACCAGAACATAAGATTTTTCTGTTTTAATGAAAAACCAATTGAATGATTTTGTTTTTTGAAATTTTAAAGATAAATATTAATGTTTACGAATGTACTTAGGTTTCTGGAGTTGAAATATTCTAAAAATACTATAGTTTATTATGACAATTCTAAAAATAAAAAAACATAAAATTTCTTATTTGTTTGCAATGTGTTCTACGCAAACAAGGTTTTCTTTGATTGAGTTATAAGAAGTTTTAGCATTATAACCGAGATTTTCAAGAGGAATTTGATCCATAAATTTACCAATTTTGTTTTGTGTCGCTTGTGGGAGTTTTGTCTCAGAAACAACCTTATTAATATAATCTAATGCTGGGTTATACCATGGTCCGCTTTCCATCTTTGGTAGTTCTGTTGTAATTACACTAATTGCGTTGTTTTGGGATTGGTAGTAACCCATATAGCTGAGAGCTCTCAAATTGATGAATAAAAGATCAGTAACATCTTCAAATCCCATGCATCCATGCATTATAGCTTTGATAAACTTCCTATCAAAAGAAATTTCGTAATTATTTAAAATAAAATCGTTAAAAACCATGAAGATTACTTTTGAGATTGCTCTGTAATGTTCGTAGTCGCAGTTTGAAGCTAAATTCATTAAATCTTTCTTAAGTGAATATTCAAGACCTGATTGCCTAAATTGATCAATAACGATCTTCTTGTAGTCACTTAGATTTAACATATGGCCTAAGTTTTGTAAATTATAATAATAATGAGTTAAATCTCTATCTCCAATTCCTTGATATAATTGAGAGCCAATATCAGCAATAAGCTTTTTAACTAGTTTTTCAGGGTCTGCTATTTCGTCACCAGATGGTGTCTTTACAAAGCTGAGTGCGAAATTTAAGACCATAAGTACAGAAATGATAATAAGGCATACATACATACTTTTTCCAGGTGCAACTGTAATTTTAGGCCTGTATTCTGGCAGATCTGCTTCACCTTCAGCTATTTGTGCTTCACCTATTATTTCTTCTTCTTCATTGTACGAATCTTCCTCTTCTTCTTGAAAATTATTTCTGTTCGGTTGATTTGCAAGAACTATATCATTATTCTGTTCTTCTTCGTTTATAATTTTCCCTTCAGGCTGCTCTTCGATTGACATTTCTTTCTGATTTTGCTGATTCCAATCTCGGCCAAATACAATCTATCGTCATCATTAATATTCATTGATTCAGACAAAAAACATTTGCTGATGGTGATTTTTTCATGAGATGCATATATTAACATAGGGTATATATACACGAAGTATATATTGCAAAATGGGAAAAATCCATTGAAGAGATTTTCAGAAAAATCAAATTAAAATTGTCACTCCAATTTTACTTAACAGGACGGCTTGATATGATGTAAAACAACTTTCTATGATTATTTTTAGTGTAAGATATATTTTCCCCTTCATTCAATAAATTTCTAAATTTATTTTAATTCATATTGTAATAATATACTATGATAAATAAGCAACATTTGTATCTTATATTATCATATATACTCCTATTTTATAGGAAAATTGACCAAAATTATCTTATCATTTACACTTTAACTTATACAAATCAATTAGATATAATCTAGGCACGAGATTTTCCAAATTTTAGAGTTTGAAAAAAATATTCAATTTTTCAAATTGACTTTCAATACATTTTAATCGATCCAAGTGAAGGTAGGGACATACATTATTTCTATTAGTTACATCGTTAACTGATTTTGTAAACAAATGATGTAACAAGGGACAATTTAGAAATTCAACATGAAAAAGTCAGCTCTATCAACCAATTTTCTAAAAACTAATGATATTATGAAATAATAATCTTATATTTAGATCGCGAGTGAATTTCGCATAAAATATGACGAATCCACTAATCCGATAAAAGTGACAGAACAGTTCATCTTGCCCGAAAAATTTCAGGGACATTATCAAAATTATAATTCACTTCACATTCTCTTCTAATGGCTGAAGAAGACGTTCAGACACTCGTTATCGATAACGGCTCTGGTATGTGCAAGGCTGGCTTCTCCGGTGATGAAGCCCCACGCTCTGTTTTCCCATCCGTTGTCGGCCGTCCAAAGTACAAACAACAATTAGTTGGTGGCAACGCCAAGGATGTCTTCGTTGGTGATGAAGCTTGCTCCAAGGCTGGTGTCCTCATCCTCAAGTACCCAATTGAACACGGCATCGTCAACAACTGGGATGATATGGAAAAGATCTGGCACCACACATTCTACAACGAACTTCGTGTTGACCCAACAGAGCACCCAGTTCTTCTTACAGAAGCCCCACTCAACCCAAAGGCTAACCGTGAGAAAATGATCTCCCTCATGTTCGACACATTCAACGTCCCATCCTTCTATGTCGGCATCCAAGCCGTTCTTTCCCTCTACTCTTCTGGCCGTACAACAGGAATCGTTTTCGATGCTGGTGATGGTGTTTCCCACACAGTTCCAATTTACGAAGGCTACTCCCTTCCACACGCCATCATGAGACTTAACCTCGCTGGCCGTGATCTCACAGCCTGGATGGTCAAGCTTCTCACAGAGCGTGGCAATGCTTTCAACACAACAGCCGAAAAGGAAATCGTTCGTGACATCAAGGAGAAGCTTTGCTATGTCGCCCTCGACTTCGATGCTGAAATGGAGAAGGCCGCTACAGACTCCTCTATCAACGTCAACTACACACTTCCAGATGGCAACGTCATCACAATCGGCAATGAGCGCTTCCGCTGCCCAGAAATGCTCTTCAAGCCATACTTCGATGGTATGGAATATGATGGTATCGACAAGACACTCTTCGACTCCATCATGAAGTGCGATATCGATGTTCGTAAGGATCTCTACGCTAACATCGTTCTTTCTGGTGGCACAACAATGTTCCAGGGCATCGCCGAACGTCTTGACAAGGAAATCACAGCTCTTGCTCCACCAACAATGAAGGTCAAGATCGTCGCTCCAGAAGAGCGTAAGTACGCCGTTTGGGTCGGTGGCTCCATCCTTGCTTCCCTCGCTACATTCCCACAGATGGTTATCACCAAGGAGGAATACGACGAGGCTGGCCCATCCATCGTCCACCGCAAGTGCTTCTAAACAACTTCGGTATATATTTTATAATTTATCAACTTTTTTCCTTTTTTTATGAAAATTTATCTCAGATTTGTTTCCAAAGTGAAGATAATTTAAGGATAATTGCACAAACCACTCATTTTAATCATCAGTATTCATGAGATAATGTTTATTTTTTTTAATCATAGTTCAGAAATGTTCGATGATATAGCGATAAAACAAAATTTTATGTCACTTTTTTGATTTTTGAATACCCATCAGCAATTATTACAAAATTCTACATGTAATAAAGTTGTTGATAAATTTTATCATGAAATTTTTAAATATGAGATAGAATTTTTTATCGTGAAAAAAACAAAAATTATGAATGAAGAAAATGCAATTCCTGATACAAAATTAGTATCAATATTGATTACCACAATCTTTATTGTCGCATCAGCTTTATATCCTGTACTTGCAAACGCATTGTTGCTTGGTTCATTCAAATGGAAAAATGGTCTTACACTTCCTTTCCAAAAACCATGGTTAATAACATGGGGTGTATTCAGTGGATACGTTTTATGTTCTATTCCTTTACTTTTTACAACAAAATGTTTCAAGAATGATAAAACTGTTACTTGGCACTTATTTAGAGCATGCGCATTACCAGCATGTTGCATGGTTGTTTCAACAGTTTTCCAGATCTACTCTTTAATATATTTATCACCTTCAGTTTGGAAATCAGTTCAATTCTTTGGTCTTATTTTCACTACATTAATTACATCAGGATCGGAACAATCACACTCCATCTTACTCGAATGGACTGCTCTTTTGATCATTTTCATCGGTGTTATGCTCAGTGGCACATCTGCTCTTTTCGCTGATAGATATCAGGATAATGATCCATCAGATACACTTTATGCCATTATTTTCATGTTATTCGCAGAGTTAATCAAAGCAGGTCAGACAAAAATTGAAGAAATTATGCTTCATGAGATTTTAACAAGCTCATATGTCATCATGGTCTGTGAAGGTGCATGGGGATGGTTCTTAACAACATGTGTTGGCCTTCCTTTTGTTCATATCTCCACTCCAACTTCTCCAATTTTAGTTTACGAAAATACATACGAATCTCTACAAATGTTTGGCATGTCCTCGAACTTACCAATCATGTTCGTATTCATTGCCGTCATTGTTGGAATCTACGGTTATATCGGTGTTATTGTTATTTCTCATTTGAGCGCTAGAAAGAGGAATGAGTTCGAATCAATATCACCAATAGTTGTGTGGATATTCTCTATATGCGCACATTACTTAACAAACAATACAAACGTAGGAGAAAGCGCAAAATTGTTTTCGATTCCACAAGTTTGCGGTTTCATCATTTCTATCATCGGAGTTGCAATATATGACCAGAAAATTCAACTCCCATGGATTATTTATGAACAAGTTCCCGATGAAAACGAATTATCCGACGTTCCATCAGAAAATGAAGAAACTGCTACAGATGTTACCTTAAAGACACTGTAATCTGTGTCATTTTGATCACAATCAGTTCTTTATGTATGAAAAAAAATTTTTTGTCGGAAGATCAAACGAAAATGCATTGAAATTATTATATTATAGATGACTTATCCGAAATCAATATGTTTTCTTTAGAATTTTCTTTATATCAAGAATTATTATTTTACTAATCTTTATTTTAATATTATACACTATCACTGTCCTAACTAGATTGAAACTTATTTAATTTGTTGTTTTATCCATAAATTTGTATTTTATATTTTTTTTTCAAGTTTTTTCTCTTCAAAATTCAACATGTTCCTGAATAGCCGCATTAGTGTATAGTAAAAATATTCGATATCTCTTAATACATCCTTAGTTTGATATATATATATTTTAGAAACATCAATAGATCATCCTCAAAAAGTATGAAATCAAAGGTAAAATAATAGAGAATCAAGTTGTTATACGATATTCAGTTACGATAGCAGATAACAAAATCGGATTAATTTTGCCACAAAGAGTAAACAATAGCGAACTTACAAATAGCCTATGCAATAATAAGAAATGGAGAAAAGATGAATGAATTTGCTTAAATTTAAAATTCAGAGTAGTCTATTGGACATGTAGGGAAGTATCGTAATACAAAAAGGAATCATTATCAAAATAGTGATGAATAAACTACTTGAATCTTGATTTAAAAATTATTTAACATAACAGAAAGTCTGATCTCAATAAGAAACGAAAATAACTGATTGCAAATTTTATTTTAAATTAATTTTTTCCCTTGGTTGCTTATTGAAATAATAAATGTAAATATTTAAGTGTTTTGATTGACATCAGCAGCTAAACATAGCTAATTAGGCATTACATGCTGTTAAACCGTTTAGGTGGCCTGGCAATTGAGTTATTAGCATATTTTCATGCAATTAATATCATTTTAACCGGTCATTTTCAATTCAAATCGACCAATAATATAATATTCATGGATAAATTTATACATATTAAGATATACTATAATATTGATCACTCAATCTCGATTGTCGAATTTTCTGTGACATATTTTATGTCTTCCAAATTGTTAAACGTCACTTTTTTATAATGGGCATTCGTTTATAATGCTCCTATTATTTATATTGATAAATGATAAGTGAGATCACTCCATTTCTCCTAAGATTGAATAGAAAAATGTTGTTTGATAGAACCAAAACCTCCAATATTGAGAAGTGTCTCAAAAATAAAATCGAACAAACTCGGTGCGTTATAAGGTATTACCATCATCAAGCAAAAATAAATATAATTAATTTGTGAGCAACATATTCGAAATTCAGAAAAAGCAATCAACCATACACCCAAATATGCTGTTACAATCGAATCACACGATTTTGGGCAACAATAATTTATTGTTCTCAATTGTGTTCCCGCTACGGTTTATCGTATAATTTGAGAGAAAAATTGAGAACTGACAATATTTTAATTCACCGCTCATGCTCGCATCCTCCTCTCGCGCTGCAGCCAACATCCGCTGGGTTGATACATCCCACAATGCTATTGCCTTCGACATGCACAAGTGCATCAACTGCCAGGCTTGCGTTCGTGCTTGCAAGAATGTTGCCGGACAGAGTGTCCTTAAATCCGTAACGATTGACGGCAAGAAGGGCGTTGTACAAACAGTTACAGGCAAGCCACTTGCAGAAACAAACTGCATCGGCTGCGGTCAATGCACTATCGTTTGCCCAACACAGGCCCTCCACGAGAAGGACGCCATCAAGCAGATGAACAACATCTTCAAGAACAAAGGCGTCCGCATCCTCGTCGCCCAGACTGCCCCAGCCGTCCGTATCAACATGGCTGAAGGCCTTGGTCTTCCAGTCGGTACAATTTCCACCGGCAAGCTCGTTACAGCTCTCAAGCGTCTCGGTTTCGACTATGTCTTCGACACAAACTTCAGTGCCGACCTTACAATTGTCGAAGAAGCCACAGAGCTCCTTCAACGCCTCAACGATCCAAAGGCTGTTCTTCCAATGTTCACATCCTGCTGCCCTGCCTGGGTTAACTATGTTGAGAAGTCCTATCCACAGTGGATGCCACATCTCTCAACATGCCGCTCCCCAATTGGCATGCTTTCTGGTGCTATCAAGAACGTCTTCCCGAAGCACATCGGTGTTGATCCAGCCAGAATCTATTCTGTTGGTATCATGCCATGCACAGCCAAGAAGGACGAAGCAGAGCGTGAACAACTCCGCACAAAGCAGGGATACCACGAGACAGACCTCGATATCACATCCCGCGAACTTGCAAAGATGATCAAGGCCGCAAAGATCAACTTCAAGGAACTTCCAGACACAGAATTCGACTCACCATATGCCATGGCTACAGGTGGTGGTGCTATCTTCTGCGCTACTGGTGGTGTTATGGAATCTGCTGTCAGATCTGCCTACAAGTTCGCCACAGGACAGGATCTCGCACCAATTGAGTTCGTCCAAGTCCGTGGTGCCGAAAAGGGCATCAAGGTTGGCACAGTCAACATCAATGGCCGCAAAATCAAGGTTGCTGTCGCTCAGGGCGTAAAGAATGCTATGGATCTCATCAAGAAGATCGAACAGGGACAGGATGACGTCAAGGGAGTAGTCTTCTGCGAAGTCATGGCTTGCCCAGGTGGCTGCGTCGGCGGTGGTGGCTCTCCACGCGCTAAGACAAAGGCTGCTATGAACAAGCGTCTCGATGCTACATATAGGATCGACAGAGCTTCCAAGTATAGAACACCACAAGATAATACTCAGCTCCAGGAGCTTTACAACACATACTTGGGTGGAAAGTTCGGTCATGGTATGGCTCACGAAATCTTCCATACACACTTCAAGCCACAGCCAATCGGTGCTAAGAAAAATTAAGTATTATTTAATTTTCATTAAACAATTTTTTATATTTTAACGCAAATACACTATTGTTTTATCATAAAACATTTTAAATTATTATTTATGCAAAGTTTTAAACAAATTTCTAACAAATTCTTTTAATTTTGTTATGAAAATGAATTATGGAGGGTATCATTTCGTTTCAATCAACATTTTAGAGATACGATCTAAGATTTATGAAGCTTTTCTTCGATATTAAAATTATTATTCTAAAAAAAATCAAAAAAATGTTTAATAATAATAAAAAAATATATTCTTCTTACTCTTCTTCACCTTCTTCCTCTTCTCCAAAGTCTTCTTCCTCTTCTTCTTCGTCTTCCTCCTCATCCTCTTCTTCTTCATTATCTTCCTCTTCATCCTCTTCTTCCTGATGAACAGTCGATGTTGTTTGGGTTGTAGACTCTGGAACTGTTGATGTTTCAACAACACTTGGTGTTTTAGCTGAAGATGAGTGGCGAGATGATATGGATTTCCTAGCTGATGATGATTTAACAGATGGTTCCGAGCGCGGGGCTGGTGGCTCCGGAATAACTTCCATTGGCTGATAAACTGGTGTTTCTTCCTGAACTGGTGGTGGAGGTGGTGGTGGCTCCTCTTGTTTAGTCTTTCTTGCATTAAGGAACATCTTGAATTCATCGTATAACTGCTGTGCGGCAAATGGATCTAATGGATCAACACCAAGGCCACGAATTTCATTCGCTGCACGACGAGTAAGCATATTAGCTGTTTCTCTGTAAGCTTCTGATGGTGTCATGCTGCCTTCTTCGCGGCGGTGGTGGTGATGATGGTGATGATGATGCTGAGCGTGATATCCTTTAACATTAGGAAGTTTTGGTGGACGAACAGCACGACGAACTTGCAAATAAAGATTTTTATGTTCACTAAGTCCTAATAATCTTCCAACTGGAACTGGAAGAGATTTCTTTGGAATTGCTCCGCCTGTTTCAATACTAGAAACAAAAAGAGACATCTCCATTCCGTGGTTGTATAAGAAATTCGCGACATGTCTGCAAGCTGCTTCATACGCGTCTGTTTCTGGTATTTTCGGAACAGATTTCTTTCTACGAATCGATTCAGGTGATTTACGAGCAATCTGTATTGCTATTTTTTCAAAATAAATCTGTCTAATCAAGTCCTTTGTTTTAGACATTGATTTTCGATTTTTCTTGAGCGTTTAAATGTAAACTTTTCAAATATAATTTTGATTTGGAAATATAATTATACATAGTGTGACATTTGCAAATTTCGAAGTTCCGAAGAAAACGGAAATTTGACAAATCAAAATCTAAGATTTTCCTTGGAAATATCATAGTGCAATTTATTATGAATAATTCTATGTAATTTTTTTGTCTTGACTGAAAGTGTGATACAATAAGGTTATTGTAACGTATAACAATGTGCAAAGAAGAAGACGAAGTAGTTCAAGATAAGGACCAAAAATACATCAACTATGATGATAGCAAAAGCGGAAAACAGGCAAAAGATTATCCTGAACCTGGAAATTGCCCTATTCCTCCGAGTGAATTAGTAACAATTCCAGAACATGAATCAAAGGTGGATGAAGATCCTCTCCACTTGAAAGATATGACAGAGTTTCATGATCTTAAATTATCTGACTAATTTTCAGATAATTTTCATAACAATTTTTCGTTGGTCAACTATTTGAATTGACAGATCAACTACTTTAATGGTGACTTTTCAAATATTTAGCTAATAAGAAATGTTCCATTCATATGTTGCTTTTTTTCGAAAATATTAGCTGAAATTGTGCCTTCCATTCTATTCGGACCGAATATGTAAGTGGAACCATTTATATTACATTATACTAACATGATGAAGTTAGGTATATTTTATATATATGTTGTTTTATTTTGTTGATACTAAATCCTATCATTTGATAAAATCTTTTGTACAGTGTTAATCATTATTTGAAATAGATTTTCTTATTTTAGAAATTTCAGAAGTCTTAGGTGCATATAGCTACAAATAATAACAGCGGATTCATAGTTAGAACTTCAAAATCTAGAGTACACAATCTAACTTGGAATACAAAGAATATTTCAAATTTTATTGAAACATTTTCTTCAAAACCGATAATTAAAGGGATGTTGCGATAAAAAATCCAAAAAATAGAAAAAATATCTCAATGAAATTGAAAGATTTATAATAACAAAAAAGTATTAACACAATAGTTTGAAATTAAACTAATTTGATTTCAACGTCTGTTTTTGGCAATCAAGCGCTCGTATTCGTTGATAAGAGCAGGAATTTCTTGGTTGTAAATGCGATCAGTTTCATTTTGAATTTCTTCTAATCTGCCTTGTAATTGTTGGTAGCTCTCAGGGCTGGCTGTTGCTACTTGTGTCATCGTTGAAAGTAGAGAATTTATGTACTGGAAATCTGGTTCTTTTCCACTTTCCAAATCTTTGATTTTTTGTTCTAATTCAAGACTATTTTGTTCAAGCTGCTCAATATAATCTTTATAAAGAGGATCTAATGGGATCTTACCTTCATATTTTGCCAAAAAATTTTCAACTTGGGCTTTTCCATCATTGATGAATGCATTTTGTCTATTAATTTCTGTTCTAATGAATTTATTCATGTATTCATGAGTTTCAGTTGGAACTGTATTAATTGCAGGGCGAACAAAATCCATTTGTTTTTTTGAAAAATTATGAAAATAATCGTCAAAAGATTCACCCATTGGAGAGAATGCATAATTCGTCTTTTTACTAATGGCAAAGCAATAGTCCATATGAGGTTGACTCGAAAATGCCTTTATTGAACCTCTTATCATCATATTCACTTTTCTTATTATATTGATTCAAATACTTATGCATTTAAGGAATAGAATTTTGCTTTGAGAGCTCTATTTCTTCTAGGAGCCCCAGAATTTGATCAGCTGTTTTAAAAAATTCTTTCTTTGATAATAAAATCTATAATACAATAAGGAGTTACATAGAATATAAAATGTCATGCTAATGCGATCAAAAATGTTAGATAGAATAGAAAAAATTTAATATAATATATTACAAACAAATAATATTATAGAAAAACAAGCCAAAACCAAGTGTATATCGACTCCTATTATATACCATTGCATTTTCTTTTCGGATGTAATCAAACTAATACAATAAATGATATTATCGTACGAAATCAATTGCATTCAAATAAGATAAGTAAATAAAATGCTGAAATGCAATCAATATGATTATTAAGATCGTTTTGCATTTGAATTAGCTTGTTTTCGTGATAGGAATAAGTAATATTAAAATAAGGGTTCACAGATTCGTATCACATATAATTGAATCTATTATAGTCAGGCTCGGTATCCATATCAACAAGTGACGAAAGCAAACTGGAAATAGGAAGAGGAATAGTTCCTGATTGGTCACCTTCTGAACTTGTATTATTATTCAGGTTATTTCCGATCATTTCAGAATACGAAACAGTTGGACTTTCATTCTTTTCGCGATTAATTGAGTCAAGATAAAATTGTGCTTCATGATCAAATTCATTTTTAACACTAATACGCAGTACTTTATCTTTGAAGTCATCAGATATCTTCGAATTTTCTTGTAGCTTAATATCTGTTTGAGGAATTAAGACCATTGAGTCAGGAATTTCATAATTTTTCTTGATATATTTGCATACATCTCCATATGTCTCGTTTGGACCTACTTCTATGAATTGAATCAATTTATCCGGCAATGTTACACGAACAAGATTCGTTGAAAGTTCAGTCATCAATTATTTTTGAAAAATTTTTGTGTGCTTTATCGTCAGAAATTGAATAATTACACGGGTTGACGCGCCCTGAAATTTGTGTGGGAAAATAAATTAAAATTAAAGAGAAAAGATAATATCATACACATTAAGAAAATACGCATTGAGAATATTTATGAGTTTTGAATCTAAGCTCAATTTTTTAATAGTGAAATTTTTTTTCATAAAATAAAAAATGCATGATTTGTGCTTATTAATAAGCTTTCAACATCAGATAAAGATCAAACACCTGATCTCAAAAAATTGGAGATTATGAATTCCATTAATAAAATTAAAATATATATAAGCTGAAAAGAAAAGATTTCTTGTCTTGTTGAAATTTTTTATATCTCTCGAGATTTATTTCAAATTGTAATCAATTTATCGATTTTTGATAGTACTTGTTCTCAATATTGCTAGACGCAGTTATTTATAAGATGTTTATCCACACATAATACTCCTTTTATTCAAATGTAATTTCAAATTTTAGAATTATTAAATTTCAAGTGTATTTGCCTATGAGAATACTCTAAGTAAGGATATGAAACTAAATTATGATTTTCATCATGAGAGTTTGTATAGTAATTTTGTTCTTCATTATTTCTCTTGAATAATGCTATTTTATCTTTAATGGTCATTTCCTTTATGGGTGGCTTGATAAAATATGAACAATCGCTTCATCTTTCAAATGAAAATTCGAAAAATATAAAAAATAATAATTTTGCAATTTTTTTAACAAAATATCTTGACAAGTAAAATATCTAATATAATACAATCTTATTCTTTTTTTTCCATCATGGATAAAAAAAAATTAATAAATCTATAGTCTCTTCTTTGTAACTGTGCAAACTAGATGCATTGTGATCAGCCTATCATCTGTGTTCTTGAATGTCTTCTCAACAACCATTTCTCCATCTTCAATCAGATCGTTTTCTCCATCTGAAACTTCGCTGAAGAAACCTTCGTTTTGTGTCTTCGGAAGCTGAGGGACCTTTGATGTTTCCACCTGTTCCTCCTCTTCTTCGTCGTACAAAACCCTTCTTCTCGTTTTTGCCGGTTTTGGAGGGGCGTCCTTTTTCTTTTTCTCGGTCGGAGCGATACCGAACGTGACCATGATCGGAGCGGATTCTGGTCCATGGACTCTTTTGTAGAAAAGAACGTAAGGTTTGGAATCTAAAACATTTTGAGCGGTGTCTTTGGTGATTTTAGTATCGTCGCAGTTATACCATGAGCCGCCGTTGCATTTGACGAAACAGGTGAAGTGGCCACGGTTCACTTGATGGCCTGAATGATTAATTACGGCAAAAAGCTCATAAAAGTGTTCGACGCCATCTTCAACGAACTCCTTGAGATCGATATTCAAACCGAAATCAACTTGGCGTTCGTCTTTGTTAACTGTTGCTGTAAATCTCATCATCGTAATAATTAAAATGTTTGGAGTGTCCGCAAATTTAGTTCTTGTAGAGCATGTACCTGCCTGTTTACAATGCTCGCAGATGTAGTTGCTTCCGACGTTTCTTGGCTTCATAAAACTTTCAAAACAGCCATCAAGGGTATCAGCGTCCAATGGCAATGTAATATCATAGAATTTTGAGGTCGTTTGATCGTTATGTCCGCATCTGGCGCATATTTTTGTTTCTCTGAATAATCCTCCGAAAAATGAATCAACTGGTGTATCGTAAGTAGCAGCTTTGTTCTCTTTTGGCGCCCTGCATTCGTCGTCAAAGTGGTTGAGAAGAGCAAAGAGATATTCATGGGCGTCTTGTTGGACACCACATTCCATATCTGAAGAAATTTGTCTCATATTTGCAAAGAAAATGTGGGGAGCTGCGATTGGTAGCCTGCGTAGAGCTTTGCAAAGTTGACCAAAGTGATATAAAAAGCAAGATTTTCCTGAACAATTTTCTAATATAACGTTGGGAAGTGAATTAGACAGTTTTTCAAGACCAGGAGTATATGCTAAGCATTGAAGGACTGAATTTAAGAAGCAACTGTTTCCTAAATTATGAAGCCCGCCGAATGGTTCTTCAATTGGGTTTTCTTCTATAAGACGACTTGCCCATTCTTTTGAAAAATAGTGCTCTGGGATGTCTTTGTTAGTTGATGTACGGATTTCTAGCCATTCTTCTGATTCACCATCAGTTGGTGAAGAGCATTTCATTCAGGCACAAATCCGAAGTTCCCCCTAAAATAAATTTTGCCCCTTCAATAATTTATAAAATCAAAGCATGTGACGAAGGTTCTAACATAATTTAAGAAAAATTTGAAGTTTTTATTAGTTTTTGAATCAATTTTCTTTCGTCTAAAAATTATTCGCATTTATCAGGAAAATATTCAGCTAGATGTATATTATATCTTCAAATCTCCTAGAAATCATATTTCATTTACCTCGAATAGCATATGACAATTCAGATGAAATGGAAAAGTTCATAAAGAAGAATTTCGATGCTCAGATTGAATAAGAAAAATGAAATATATATAAAAATAAATACATTCATGAAAAGAATTATTTTGAACCGGAAAAAAGTAAATAGGAAATCGTTTATAGAATTAACAGCATTTCTTTTGCTTTGGTTGTGTACTCATGTTATTGAGCTCTACGAAGTCGTCTTCTTCTGTCTTTTCAATTGGCAATTCAGGAAGATTTGCAAGGTATTCAAAAATATCTTTGATTCCTTCGCCAGTCTTTGCAGAAACCTCGAAGTACTTAATTGCACCAATATCTTTGGTATAGTTTGCGGCTTTGTTCTTGTCGACTTCGCGATTTTCAGCTAAATCTATTTTATTGCCGATTACGAGTTTGATGATATTCGGGGGAGCCTTCTGTGCAAGGAGTGAGTCGAATTCGTTCAAAACATTGAATGAAACTTCGTTGGTGATATCATAAACCAAAAAAGCGCAAGCAGCCTCTGAAAAGTACATTGGGACAAGGCTCCTATACTTTTCTTGTCCGGCTGTATCCCATATGTTGAATTCGATGTCTTGTCCGGCGTTATTTTTCATTGTTAAGTTCAAGGAAGCTGCACCGATTGTTGGAGCTATGTTTTCATTGAATTCGTCATTTTTGGCACGCAAAGCAATGCATGATTTGCCAACGGTAGATTGGCCAATAATGATGATTTTAGCTCTTGGCATAGAAAAAATGAACAGAAAAAATAAGTTTACATTTTGGTCTGTTTAAAAAAAATGATATGTTATGTGTCATGAATCTTAACCCCCGAATTTTCGATGTCGGTTTTGTCAAAAATCTCATGAAAAGAAAATAAAGATTAAGTTTAAGGTTGAAATATTTTGGACATGAAATTCTGATTTTAGACATCATCTACGCGCTAAAAAGTTACTCAAATTTTCATTACTCTCTTTTAGCATTGACAATTCGTTTACACTTATGAGCTTTTTTGCCGATGTTGCGTCTTATTTGGTCTGTAAATGAGATATATAAACTAATCGCAAACCACTGCATTGAATAGTTGTTCAAGAAAACGTCAATTTTTTCAAAGCTATGAGAGTTATCTGATCGTGGTGCATTTCATCTATTCATATGGTTTTATATAGTTTACAATCTGCATACACATTATATTTCTATATTTCTTTAACCTTCTAAAAAAAGTTGACATTCATCATCCTATCCATGAATTTTCCTATGCAAATCTGACAAATCCGCTTATTTTGGACTATAATAGTGATAATATTGATTCTATAAGTTAACCAGAGGAAGAAAATCACGATAAAGATTTGGTGTTGGTATCATACACAGACGATGAAATCTATTTTCTTAGACCCAAAGTATGATTTTATGTTTATGTTATTGTCATTAACACTTTTTTTATTGTCAATGCTTTGGATAAATATTTGCCTGAAATCATCAATATTTACACCTTCCCATTTGGCAATAAATGCATCAAATTCTAGGTCATATAGTTGATTTTCCTATTTGTGTAAAGGGGAGTTAGATTTGAATGATAGGCCAAGAAATCAGATCTGTCAAATATTGTTTTCCAGATTTAGATTCGCAACATGAACTATCTTCATCGCCATTATTCCATTACAATAGATGAGTTTTCTCCAAGCATTACATCTCTGAATTTTGTATGCAAATATTAAATAGCCGTGTTGAATAAATGGCATTTGAATATTCCAACATGAGATATCTATATAAATTGCCATTTTGAATAGACAGTATGAAACATATTGAACAATATTGCATATGCATGTCAGAGTTCATACTTAGTCCTTGTCTAAATATGGGTGCATTTTGAAGGAAAAAAAATGTATGAGAGATAATTCCAAGTTTTAATCGTATCTCACCACTGGAAAGACATATATGTATTTCTAAACTGATAGAATAAAATATATGATGTTATTAATATTATCTTCGATAATTAGGCATTTTTACTTTTAATTAGATGAAATGGACCAATTACAAGATTTGATTCGATATTTTTGTCAGAAATTGGTCGATACAAATGAATTCATTTTGTTGTCATGAATAATTAGGTTTGTATATTGCCTTTCTATTTATGATATGAAGAGCTTATACATATTATTATTGATTAAAAACAATTGGCAAGATTTAGATATTGACTGTTTTATAATGTTAAAATGGAATAAAATATTTTTTTAACAAATTTTATTCTCAAAAAACAAAAATTTTGTCAGTGAACAATTTATATTAGTTCTTTCTCCATGAATAGGCATTTAGATATTATTATTTTAATACAATAGAATATTGAGTATTGTGTGATATTATATATCTTTTCAAATTTATCCTAGCTTGAGAAGAATCGGAGATGTTAAATATTATATGAGTGACACAATAGTATGGTTATTTTTTCTGGAATTAATACCAACTTGCTCCAATTGATCTTAAATAATGCCCAACTTCTCCTTGAGAAACACGGTAAGCGGTCCCTTTTTGTCCTCGAGCATTATAATCTGCTCCTACCGAAACAAGATATTTTACTATTTCAAGATGACCATTTCCTGCAGCAAATATGATTGCAGTTCTATAGTAATTATTATCCATTGCTTCGATATTTGCTCCTGCAATAACAAGCTGCTTAGCAATTTCAAGATGGCCATAAATTGATGCATACATGAGTGGAGTATAATCATCAGAATCTGGCTCGTTTACATTTGCCCCGACCGTGATCAGATATTTCACAATTTCTAAATGGCCATTTATTGATGCTTTGATAAGGGAGTTCTCGTATGAAGTATCTTTAGCTTCTTTGTCGGCTCCAGCAGAGATAAGCGATTTAACGATATCAAAGTATCCTTTATCAGAAGAACAATGAAGTGGTGTGTATCCACTTGAATTTTTTGCATTGACATTAGCTCCAGCAGAAATAAGGATTTCAACAACTTCATATTTACCATTTTTTGATGCATAATGAAGGGGCGTGTATCCATAATCACTCTTTACATTACAATCGCATCCAACATCAATGAGGCTTTTCACTAACTTGAGATTTCCATTTTCAGATGCAATATGAAGGGCATTTGTTCCATATTTGTCTTTCTTTTCACAAATTCGTTCTTTATATGCAATAGAAATCATTTTTTGATTTCCAGAATCTGATAATTCTTCGAGGAATTTATAAATACTATCGAAATCATCACAATTTTTAAGATTTGCAATTTTAAGAATAATTTCTTTGTCTTTGATTTCTTCACTTATCTGAGATTTAAGCAATAAAATTTCTTTTTCACAGTTCAACTTTTCAATCTTGATAGTATCTATCTCCATCTGAAGATTCGAGATTGTATCTTCAAGATTTGAAATTTTTAGTGCTGATTCTGATATTTCACTTGCTGTTTCATTTAATTTGCTAATAATGATATCAAGCAATCTTTGAGGTATGTAGTTGTTAATAGACTTTAAGGTCAAAATTATTTCATGCAAATTGCTTATTGATACACTTGTATTATGAGGTTCAAAGACTGTTTCCGTTGCTGGCGCATATGTGGATTGATTAAGAATGGAAGTGAAGTCATCAGGAGTTACTTTTGCATACTTCATGATTTCATTAATATCATCTGCTTCAAAAATGTCATATAGAAGATTTAAATCGATTAAATCTCTTAAATATGCAGCAATGTACTCATAGTTGTGAATAAGTTCTTGAGTCATAAAGCAAAATGCGAATAATTTAAAATTGAAACTAGTTTTAAAAATTGAAAGTCGTGGCAAACAAATTTTCAATTTTGAAAGAAAAAAAAGTTGTGGTAAACTGACTTCAGAATATTTCAAAGTTTGGAATCATTCGACAATTCTATCATAAAACAATATAAAATAAAATGAATTTTTATGCAATATTACTTGTTTAAAAATTGAGTTGCATAAATGAATTCAATTTTCAAAAATACTCAACTAAATTCTTTTCTCAATGACCAAATGTAGTGTTATGATAAATAAAATCTTAATTAAAGCTGCACATGAATTCAGCCATAATGCTTAAGGCTCTGAGTGCCATATCAATTTTGACAAGGCTTTCAATTAATGAGATATTTTAAATGTTTTTATCTCGTCAACTTAAAAGATTTATAGGAAATTTTCTACTGCAGCATGTACTCATATGGACTTGTGTATATGATTTGAAAAATAATATTGAATTAAAATAGATCTATCTCAGTGAAAAAAAGAAATTTAGAGACCATCAAGCCAAAGTGTTTCATTCTCATTATATAAAAAGCCTACAAAGAATTTCCCTATGATTATATGTAATGAGAATATGCATACATAAAATTTTACATTTAATTTTGATAAGATTTGAAAATCAATAAATAACTATAAATGCATTGATTGATTGAAAGGGAAATATATTAAAAAGTAAGTGATTATTAAAGTTAAAAATAAAATAATTTACACGACTACAGATGTTGACGATTCCGCTGTCATAGTAATAGTTGTAGATGTAGAAGATGCGTAATCTGAGATACGGGAGTCTGCAGATTCTGACGGCGTCATCAAGTTGTATCCGGCATCGCTGCTTTTGAGGAACAAGAAAGAAGTAAGGACAGCGAACACAATGAAGCCAGCAGCAGAGTACAGGACGTAAGGAACAAGGCTCTGAGCAGGCGATTGCGATGCAGTGAACTGGAGAGAAGGAAGGAATGTCCGAGATTTGTAGAAAGTCTCAGACGGAGAGAAACTTGCCGTAGGAGCGATAACTCTCGGTGGATTGGCCCGAGTTCTTGTGTCCTGAGGCAAGTTTCGTGGCGGAACAGAAATCGGAGTAATAACTCCAACAGGAGGATGGGAATTGTTACGTGGATGGTGGGATATGTATGGATCTGACTCGTAAGGATGTGGATTTATGATTCTACGGGTCCTCGTTGGTACATTTCTTCCATGATGTGGTGGAATTATGTCCGGATTCTCGATTTCCGGCTCTTCGGTGTGTACAACATAACGAGGAGTGACCATCGGTGGTGAAAATGTAAGGTTCGCTGCTAATTTGTTGAAATATGATTTTTGATTTTCCGAAATTTCCTTGATTACGGATTTGATTTTGATTTGGGAGTCGAGGCCCTCTTGCTCGGCTACGACCCTGCAGTGTCCAGCGAAAACGAAATTGATAATATGTTCTTCCGCGTCTTTTTTAACGGTAAAGCCTGGTGTTTCCGCGTTCTCCAATGTATACTCTGTATCAGAAACGCAATCGGCAACTAAAAGCTTCGATGGTTCACCAGAAATTAAATGAGGAACTTTATTTTGGAGGAAAACAACGTTTACGAAGCTGTTGTCCGCAGACGTTTCGATAAGTGATGTTCCGGCCTTGTTGCCTATGAAGTTTGACATCGCAACGGTAAGAGATTTCTGAAGATCCAATAATCTGATTGTATTTGTTGAAGAAGAGTTCTGGAACTCGTTAAACATGATTGTTAGTGAATTTGATCCAAGAGCACCATATGCGGAAGCGAAGCCACCAGCATGGTTATTTGATGCATTTGTTAATTGGATTTTGTAATTTCCGGTCAAGAAAAGGGCCGCTGCCTTGCCGGTGCGGGAGGTAGAAGGACAAGAGTGTATTATTGAAACTTCTGAGAAGTTGGAAACGAATTCTTTAGAGTTGAGATTTATAAAAAACGCATGACCACTTTCCAAGGCTTCACACTCCTCAAAACATGTTCTAAGGATTGTGGCACCATCAAGCGCTGCATAAAAAGCACCGCCTGAATGGCTAGTCGTACATTTCGTGAAGAAAACGCGATCCATAGTAACAGAAAGCGTCTTCCTGTCAAATAGAATAGCACCGCCATGATCGTTGACATCAAAACAGTGAGAAAATGAAGTATCGATAATAAATACATCGGATTTGTCAGCATCAATTATTGTGTGCTGAGTAACCATAATACTTGTCATATCTGCTGATGAATCAACCTTGATTGGTGATCTGAGAAATCTGTTGAATGATGATCCGGAAACTTTGAGCGTTTCTTTGATAGAATTGATATTTATAAAAGTAGAAAACGAATTTCTGATTTTAAAATTAAAAAACTGAGTGGTATGACCACTGCTCAGAGTAAATCCGTTGTAAAAAGGCAGCCTATTCCCTGCAAGGGAAAGGGCCGCAAATGTTTTATTCATCAATTAATGTAAACTTCAGAATTTAGGGTGGGAAATTTCATCTAAAGTAAATGTCACATTGTTTTTTGCAATTAATAATTTGGCATTCTTCTAGAGAAAGATTCTAAACATATCTAATTGTTAGCTTCATTATTTATTCGAATCTTCTCTCGAAGTTATATCTTGCCTAAATATAACTATTGACTTATGCTGGAGTTAAATTCAGAACATGATTGCATCAGACCTGAATTTTCAATCTAAAACGATAAGATACTAACTAAATATGAAAATAATATCTTCATTCTTGCATTTATTGAATGCATTATATATACACTTGAAAGTATTTCAATATGCTCTCAAATGTATCAGTAATGCAATAGTATTGAATAAACCTTTCTGATATAATTCATTAATAATGAAGACAGCACTATTGATAATTCAATGAATTAGTATGTAGTAGTATAGCAAGTGAGTAAATTAACAAATAGCTAACGTCTCAATAAAAATCATGTTAATAATTTGCAAAATTAAATCTCATTTGAAAAAAGAAAAACTAGAAAAAAAAAGAAGAAAATTAGGGATAGAGATGATTTACTTAAATCATCAGCATGGCTCTGAATCTACCAGAAGTCTACACACCAAAGGAAGAATCAAGGCCAAGGTCGAATTCATCAGAAAAGTCTAAGAAGGATGCGTCCGTGAATTCGCTGCAAACAACATCCTTTGACTGATTGGATACAAGATCATGTTGAGGGGCAATGGCCTCCTGAACAAAGATCTCAACATTTTGTGGTTGTGGAACCTGTATATTCTGTGGTTGGGAAATTGGGGAAGTGGTTGGAGGAGAGCAGGCAACTGGCTGGTCTAATCTCGCGGTCCATTGACGAAGCTCCGCAGGGTTGTCTTTGAGGAGTGGAATCTGTCTGATGATGGCTGCAGCAGCCTCTGGCCTTTCCATTCCATAATTGTAACCCATCTTGTGGAGCGAGCCGTTAATGGAAGACTTGCATTTGACAACGAGGAGGCGAAGCTGATGTGTGTTCACAGCAATTCCTCCTTCAGGAAGCCAGCAGATTCCTGCAACAAGGAAGCGGCACCAATCATGACCATCGCCCCTTATGCAGAATTGCTTTATGGCTTGAAGTGTCTCTGCAAAGTTCTCAACTCTTTTGTTTCGAATGCTTTTACCACTCTGAGACGAAAGAGCATTCCGGAGATACATGTATTGATATCTGTCGGCATTACTGAGAAGTCCCCAAAACTTCGGAATATCTGAATTCATGAGTTCTTGCCGTCCGCAATACATTTGAGGTGAAATTCAATGGATCCTTTTTGAATTGCACGGTAGAAATTTCAATAATGTGGTCTTTGATCGTGTGTAATTTGCGGTTTTTTTATTCAAAATATGTTTTGAGAGGAAAAATGCAATTCAATTGATGTATTAATATCTTTCTATTTCAAAATCTAGATATTTTTCAAAAAGAAAAAAATTGAATTATTATGTATTGTTTTATCTATGAATGTTTATTGCACTATAAGAGATTGATTTCATAATAAATTTCAGGTGAATACGATAAAGGAATTCTGAGAGATTGTTTGAACCTGAATTTTTTTGAACAAAATATAATAAACAAAGCTTGTTTTCCAATATTTTCAAAAATTTTTTTTGTATAACATTCTAATCTTTAAATTCATGCACAACACACCGATTAATTGATATATTTTTTTTGTATCAAATGCTCGAAACCAATCAATAATTATCAATTGAAGAAATCAATGATAGAAACAAAAATTGATGAACTTCACGATTTTTGGCCTTACCGAAAACATATTATCTCAACGTATTTGAACATCATGAATAAATTGAATATTCAAAAAAATCCGAAGCTTAAATTATGACAACTATCAAACTTTGATAATCTATCAGAAGACAAATCAATCTGTATGAGTTAGATCACGATGGGTTTAAATTTTAAAATTCATTTATCTTAGCAATCAGATTACATATAGTCCTAGTTTGAATGATTTCTTTAAGATTATTATGATACTTTTGCATGCTTGTCATAAGTATTCATGAAAGACGGATTTTTTTTACTCCTTCACCTTTCTTGTTCACATGTTTGCTCATATTATAATATACTAAAGCTTATTGTTAGATCATTTCATATGTTAAAAACAATAATTAGCGATTCTTTCTATTTGAAATCTTCACGATCTATGTCAATATATTGAAAAGACTTTGGAGATATGGCTCCAATCTGGTATATTTGTATATATTTTCCTTTCTCGGCTTATAAAATTTTATTTTTTTTTATTTTGGCCCCATGACATTTGATAAAAGTTCCACCGTGCTGCTCCGATTTTTTGATTGAAATCTGCAAAAATGCATTGAAAAAGATGATTTAGTAAGTATAGATTAGAAGAGTAATAATAGATTAACGAAAAATCGGAAAAGTTCGATCACTTATCCAAAATTTGAAATATCGATCTTAACGTGCTACGAAATCATTTTATAAATGTGAGGCAATAACTAATTCTAAGAAGAATAACATCTTTTTATACAAATATGAAGGCACGTTAAAATTTTTATCTCAAAAGTACTTTTGTATTGACCTTTAAAATTTTTAATATAATATTTATAATTAACATATAATTACAAAACTTTTTTGCAACACGTATGAACTCAACTTTTCAATGTGGTATTCAATTGAATCCACATCAAAATGTATCCAGCGTTCCCTCATCCAGTGTTCGTCATCCAACGAGTTGGCAAGCGTAATGATCTTTCAGAACAAGCTATCCAAGAACAAGCTCAAACAAACAGTAGGATAAGAAGGTGTGGTCCGAGATTAAACATGGTCAATAAATATTTTGAATCAAGATTTGCGCCAAAAATAAGTTTCAAAGATCTTAAGCATATAGCTGATCAAGTAATCAAGAAAATTCCCCTTCATGTCGATCGGATCTCGAAGCGAAATAAGGTTGCAATGCAGTGCTGGTTTGTTGAACATTGGGATATTATAAAGCCAATATTGGATAGCATGTCTATAACATTATCAGAACCTCAACAAATGTCACCAACGCCGATTAACCAAATTAATCAGCAGGAGGAGAAAGAAGAGCCATTGCCTCCTATATTCCCATTTGAAGTCCCAACAAAGTCGAATAACACATATTCAAATTTTCAGACCAACCTTATCTAACTTTTTATTCGACTCAATAATTACTAGCTTATCTTCACTATTTAATGATTTTTGTTTGAAATAATATCTAAATACTATTCTTGATATTTACTTTAGATACTTTGCAATGAGAGAATATATTATCTTCACATACTGTGATTTTTGATCATTGATTTGTATTTTTATTTTATTTGATTAGAATTATATAAATCTTGGTTGTTTTCGACTATCAAATTAGATCATACTATCTTAATAATTCTTCATTCTTAATTATTGAAACTTCTTATCATTCATCAATCATAGTTTTTCAGAAGTATCTTTCAAATTCAAGTTATTGATGTGCAAACATATTTGTTATTCACTTCTTGATATACTCTAAAAAGAAATGAGATAGTTATATCCTTCAAATCATGATGCTCATATTAGTGGAGTATATCCAAAGTTTATTTCTTTAGCAATTTTAATAGTACAAAAATACCCCATAACTTCTGGATATCCAATTGTTGATATTTTAACATGATTACGATATATGAATTCATATATATTGCATATTTGAAAGCAGTTGATTCCATATTTATTCATGAGTTTTATTAAATATTACATTAATGAATAAATTATCATTGATGAGACATTGGTATTGAAGTTCATTTAACACCGATTCAACTCATCTATTTTCCTTTGTTTGATCCAATAGTATCATCTACAAGTTCATATATTTCAATCCTTAAATGAAACTCGTGATGAAACTTAAATTTCAAGTTATTATTCTACTTGATTAAAACGCAATTGATATCGCCTTTTTAGTTAAAATATAAAATGAAAACTATCAAATAAGAGGTTTAAAGTTATGAGATGCTGTTTTTATCTCATTTTTCAAGAATATTTTGATATTTTCTCAAAACATATTTCCCTATAAATTATATCTACAAAATAATCTATGAAATGAGCATCAGTTAAGGGAGAACTATGAATAAATACATTTGCCATTTCGATACTGTACAATTTTCAATATTCGCGCCTGTAAATTGGGAGAAAAACCGATTTTTTATTTTTTGACCATTCAAATGATCATTACGAATGTAATCTCAAATACTTCATGATGAAAATTTATTCAATTAAAACCGAATCTTTACATTTCTCTGTCAAAATGCCAAAAATTTTTTTTAACTTACATTGATAAGATTTTACAATGAAAGATGCTGACTTTGGAGTCAAGTCGAGGTTCTTCTATATAGTTTCTTGTTTACTGGGAATGATTATAACTTATTACATTCGTGATACTACTTATTCTCAGATTTCAAACTATAAAGGTTGCAAAAAACTTTTTGATTTACCATGGTTCTTTACTCTTGTTATGACAATAGCTATGTCTTCTTGCATGATTGTCTATCTCATTTTAGTTAAAATTAATCCTATGCATGGTCCAAAATTCAAAAATATTCAAATGCAAATGTATTTTATTCCAATAATACCTTCAGTATGTGATTTGTTTGCATCTATGTTCTATTCATTTTCTCTTGTAAACAATAAGGGAAAAATATCTACAGCTCTTAGATACTTCGAGTTGTTTTCAATAGTAATTATGCGTACACTACTATTTGAATCTATTAATTACTCATTTAGATGGTTTTCTCTTGGGATTATTTTCCTTGGAATATTTTTCGTTGTTTTTTCTGTTATTAGTGACGAAAATAAAGAAGGTAGTGTAAAGGCATTTCCAATCATCCTTCAAATCATTTCTCAAATATTATATGCCACAAAATCTATTTTCGAAGAAAAAATTTTACATAATAACGATTTATCGCCATGGTGGCTAATGGGAGTTGAAGGTGTATACGGGTTTTTCATTAATCTTTTTATTGTTTACCCAATTGTTTACGTAATTCCATTAAACAAAAACACAAAAGGGATTCATGAAAACTTCTGTGAATCAATTTACATGGCGTTTCACTCAAAAGCGGTTATAGCTTTGATTTTTATTTACATTCCTTTTAGTTGTTTATATAATGGGTCAATTGGAGGAACAATTCAAACAACGAATAGTATTAACTACACAATAGTCGAAATGATTGCTAGTTCTTTAGCTTGGATTGTAGATTTAATTATTTATTACGGATTTAAAGGAAAATATATAATTCCGTGTTATAATGAAGATTTTAAGTCTATTACAAAAGGTATTCAGTGGACAAAATTAAGCTGGATGCGATTGATTGGGTCTATAATCTTTTTGTTCGGAGAATTAACGTATATTGGTATAATTAAATTCTCATTCTTCAGATATCCTGACTCAAATGTTAAGATCATTACTCTCAATGAAGTTTTAATTAAAGATCATGATACGTAAATTTTGACCGATAAGAAGCTTAAAATACAAAACTAAGTTGTATGTGTTCCTATTTTGTTTTGTTTTCTCTTTGTCTAGCGGTAAAAATGCGATTTAATTTCGAAATATTTTGTTTTGAAATGCAGAGTTTGGGAAACTGATGTAAAAATAGCTATTTTAATTGCTCCTTTGGATAACTCACAATCTTCTTTATTGATCAATAACGTTACCGAATGTTTGCCAGTAATAATGTTATTGAATAGTGGATTATTAATTGGCCTGGTTTGTCTTTTATATCTTCTAAATAAAAATTCTGGAAAATGCTTCAATAAAGCAAAAAACAAGAAATATTGTGACATTTTTTTTTATTTCAATATCAACAATTATAGTATTAATATTTTAATCCATTTACATATTAAATATATAATAGAATCACAATGTCGTTAAAAGCGGCCTAAAATAGAACGTAATTCACTCCAAAAATTTCAAATTTTAAAAATTATGAAGAAAAAAATGTATTTTTTTTCTTTGAATTTTTATATTCGAAAAAAATTTGGAAAATATTCTATCATTTATTTTGATTGTTTGCTTGATTTCATTTAATATTTTTCTCATTTAAGCATTTCAACATTGAATTTGATATGAAATCAATAAAAAGATAGAATATTATCAAAAAACAACATGACATCCAATCAGTGTGTATGCTTTTATTAGAAAACATATTAAACAGAGTAATAAAACTATTGAATTATACATAAAAAAATCTTTATATATGGAAACATTAATTAAAAGCAAATAAAAGTTAGTCTTATGTGTTCTGAGGTGGTGCTGGATAGTAAGGATTAGGATAAGCATTTGGATAAGGAGCTGGCTGTCCGTTTGGTTGTATATCTGCAGAATAAGGGTTCGGTTCACCAGATGGATATTGTGGAGGATAGTATGGTGTAGGGCCTGTTGGATATCCCGGTTGGTAGTACATTGGTTGCATATTCTGATTGTATGGCTGCTGAGGAGCTGCCTGTGGCTGTTGAGGTTGTTGAGTGGTTGTGGTAACAACAGTAACGCTATTTGTTTCCTTATGGTTCTTACGCTTTTTAGATTTGGATGATGAAGAAGACGAAGATTTCGATTTGACAGCCTTATTGCATATCTTATAGGAGCAGACGCAGCAAACGACAACAATAACAACAAAAACAATAAGTGAAAAGATAGGACCAAGAACCCAGAACGGGAAGCTGCTTGAAGATTTAATGATATGATAATCTGATGGACTTGGGGTATTATAAGAATAATCTCTTGAAGAGGATTTGGTGTTGATTAGGGTGGTTGAAGAAGAGCTAATTTTGTAAGCATAATAGTAATTGTTTTCGTTCGACATGTAGTAATTTAATGTATCACTGGTATCACTAATTTCAAAACCAACATTGGCATCACTGTATTCAATAACAGTGAAATAATGACTATCGTAATACGTAGTTTGGTATTCGTCCGCATAACCATCGGCATTGTAAGAGCCGATACTAGAGACGGCTGTTGGAATATTAACAGACCCGGAAATAAGTGGAACATATACGCAATATTGTTTTCCACTTTGAACCTTGAATGTTACGTCGCGGCCTACAGGTACGATAATTTCATGGCATAGAGAAGTACGATTAGTGAACGCGCAATACCTAAATGTTTGAGAGGAATACAATGTATTTGTAACAGTAATTGTTCCTGATTCTAAAAATGAAACAGCAACAACAAATGTAGATCCTAATATGGCCAATGATTGATAACCACATGTTGCATAGCCTTTCAAATCGGAACTATATTTACCATTGAAAATTACAAATGTATTTGCGGAAATTGACATTTCGTATGTCTGCTGACTATAAAGCGAAACAGTATTTGTTCCAGTTGAAATCGATACTGATCGAATCTGAGCTAACAATAGAACAAACATTCAATAAAATTTAGAGAGATTTTTTATCAACTGAGATTGAGTGTAACGTTCTTTTTTTGAATGTAACGGCCAATTTATATAATGAAAAATTATTAATATATATCCAAGAATATTTTTATTTAAATTAGTTTGACCGTTGACAGTTTTTATGGATAAAAATTCCCGGTCAAAAATTTTTATTGAAAAGTACAAATATTGGTTCTAAACCTTCCCACATGAACATTTGCTGTTCTTAGTTTATGAGTTTATGCGATCATGTTTTAAAAAAACATAAATGCTTGATCTTCAAATTTCTGAATTTAGAACAAAAAATCATTCAGAGTTCGAAAATTATTTAATGTTCCCCAAGCGTTCCGCAAGCGACATCCTTACATAGTTCACTCAAACGATATTTATCATTCCAATATCATCGATTCTGGTTTTAAAGTGAAAACGTTTTCATTTGGGTAATTTCTCAAGGAATTAGATACATCATTCAGAGGTATCCATTAATATAAGAACAGCAAACACTCTTCATAAACTCTAGAGTTTATTGATGTTCTTATTGATGTATTAGCAAACTATAGTGATTTATTTTGCCTCACAGTTTTTCTGTGAGAAGATTTTCTATCTTTCTTTTTGAGCCATGATATAAAACACAAATTCGCGAGAAACTTGTTATATATATATAATTTGATAATGAATAAATGATAAAGTAACCTTGTTGTATATGATTTTTTTGCTTCTAATAACAAAAATATTTGTAATATCATATTATATATCATAAATATGCTTTATTTGGATGAGAGTCTCAACATTATTTCGTCAACAATAGCAGAGATGACGTAGAGAGCTCTGCGGTGGACCAAATGAACTTATTTATCAGGGAACTTCACAATCTCGTTATTGTCATGGAATTGGCACAGGCTCTTGATACAAGGGGCACATTGTTGCCCAAAATCCTTGCATAAGCTGATAATGCTGATTATATGATATTTGGTGGTTTCATGAAGATAAAATAACCAATTTGGTTATAGCCATGGCCATTTAATAAAGTCTTCTGTGTAATAGCTCAGACTGCTTTCGTGAATGCCAAGAATTCAAAATTGTTACAATACCATTGAAAAAGTGATAACAATTCGAAAACAAAATATTTCAATAATCAGGTAGTATTCATGTCCGGGGTTCAATAATTTTTTGAGAAGACGAAAAAATTAATTTTTATCTTTTCATCCTTTTTTTTTGAAGAAAAATGAGTGAACCGGATTCTAATCTTTCTGATAAAAAGAGAGTACGATTTGCTCCATTACCTGCTCGCAGACAATCAGTTCGTATAAATGAAGGTATCGAATATCAAGAACCTCAAAAGGAAAAAGAAGATAAACAAGACGAAGATGACAGTTTCCATAGTGACTCTGACTCATCTGAACAGAAGGAGGTTCCAAAAGAAATTACAGAAGCGAAAAATCAATGGAATCAAATTGATTCTCAACAAAAACAATTAAATACCAATCTTCCAACCGAACATGGCGTTGGAGGAACAATTATAGATCGCTCTTCCCCAATAACTTATTATGATGCATCAATTTATTTAATAAATCAATCGAAGGAAATAGAATGCGCAGTGCCTGCTCTTAAATTTACATCAAAATCATGCTTTTGTTTCCCAAAGAAACCTTCTCAAGGCGCAGTTACTGCCTTTGGCGAAGCATATAAAATATGCAAAATCGATTTCAAGGAAGATGATTTGGTTCATCATAGAATTCTTACAAGCCTTCACGTAGCATTAACAGGCATATCAACTCCACCTCTGAGGGTTGGTCCTCATTGGGAAGATGTTGGTTTTCAATCATCAGATCCAATAACAGATCTTAGAGCTTCTGGAATGCTCGGATTACTTCTACCTTTAGGAATGCTTGTGAAATTTAAAGAATTTAGCCACAGAATCATACGAATTAGTAGAGGTGACTCACCTTTTCCATTAATGGTTGTTCTTATTGTTTATACGAAAGAAACAGTTGAAGCAGCAGAAACTACAGATTTACTTGACGGTGTTAATACAACAGAAGAAGCTTGGCGCAGAATGCTGTTGTATTTCACCGGCCTCGTTAATGTTTTGGTCACAGACTGGGTCAGAGACTTCTTGTGCTTCAATACTGACTTCAACCATTTTACAGTTGTCGCTGCAAGAGGAAAATTAAATCCTCTTGACATTGTTAAGTGGGGTGAAAAGGCAGAACATGAAGATGATATGGCACAGAAGCCAGAATTATCACAAGAGCATTTAGAAGTCTAACAAATAATTGATCAAATATTTTTTTTTATTTGTTTCTTATTGTAAAATAAAATCCATATAGAAATGTGTTTATGCTAAGATATGAGTTATTTACTGTTTTTAATAATAAAATTTCCAATTTCCATTGTATCAATTGTTATATAATTTTTGTAAGTACGATTGTTTTTCCCCAATTCATTAAAAAGGTATGACTTTTTATTTATTCAAGATTGCAATTATTTTCTGGTCAGATTCTTGACAATATCAGTAATTTTCTCTCCTTAAAGAGTGGTTTCTTCAAGCTCTTTCATATTTTGAAAATCTTGACGAAACAGCTCTTTATAATGCATGCTATACAAAGCATTGTCATACAATTATGCAAAACAGCACTTAAAATTCTTAAAAAAAACATTTTTCCCAAGTTCTTTAAATTTTTGAAAGAACTTGGCAAAGCTGCTCTCTTTTACTTAAGTCATTTAAATAAACTCATGATATTTGAAAGATAAGGAATTATATATCAATTGCGCCAAAATAGCACTTACAATACTTATAAGAACATTTTTTCCAAGTTCTTACATAGGATTAAACATTTCTTCTTATATTTGCAATAAAAGGAAGAAAATGTTCAAATATCAAGCGCTGGTTCATATTTTTTATTTTGTTGATTAGCATTTGCTACATGTGAAAGAAGAAATTCAACTACTTCTATATTATTTTTAGATTCTGCTTTTTGAAGAGGAGTTTCGTCGTTGTAATTTTTTTCATTAATATTTGCACCATGTGCGAGAAAAAACTCAATAATTTCTATGCAATTATTTTCTGTTGCATTATGAAGAGGAGTTTCTCCTTTGAAATTCTTTTCATTGATATTTGCACCATGCAAAATAAGAAGTTCGGCAACATCTTTACTATTATAATACGCAGCAATATGAAGAGCAGTTTTACCATATTTATTTTTTTCGTGGATATTTCCACCATGAAATAGAAAAAATTCAACTATTTCTTTACTATTATAATATGCTGCAAAATGAAGAACAGTATTACCAGATTTATTTTTTTCATTGATTTTTGCACCATGAGAAAGAAGAAGTTCAGCTATTTCCTTATTATCATTTTCTGTTGTATTAAAAAGAGGAGTTTCTCCACTGAAATTTTTTTCATTGACATTTGCTCCATGCAAAATATGAAGTTCAGCTACATCTTTACTATTATAATATACAGCAATATGAAGAACACTTTTACCAGATTTATTTATTTCATTGACATTTGCACCATGCAAGATAAGAAGTTCTGCTGCATCTTTACTATTATAATATGCAGCAATATAAAGAGCAGTTTTACCATATTTATTTTTTTCGTGGATATTTCCACCATGAAATAGAAAAAATTCAACTATTTCTTTACTATTATAATATGCTGCAAAATGAAGAACAGTATTACCAGATTTATTTTTTTCATTGATTTTTGCACCATGAGAAAGAAGAAGTTCAGCTATTTCCTTATTATCATTTTCTGTTGTATTAAAAAGAGGAGTTTCTCCACTGAAATTTTTTTCATTGACATTTGCTCCATGCAAAATATGAAGTTCAGCTACATCTTTACTATTATAATATACAGCAATATGAAGAACACTTTTACCAGATTTATTTATTTCATTGACATTTGCACCATGCAAGATAAGAAGTTCTGCTGCATCTTTACTATTATAATATGCAGCAATATAAAGAGCAGTTTTACCATATTTATTTTTTTCGTGGATATTTCCACCATGAAATAGAAAAAATTCAACTATTTCTTTACTATTATAATATGCTGCAAAATGAAGAACAGTATTACCAGATTTATTTTTTTCATTGATTTTTGCACCATGAGAAAGAAGAAGTTCAGCTATTTCCTTATTATCATTTTCTGTTGTATTAAAAAGAGGAGTTTCTCCACTGAAATTTTTTTCATTGACATTTGCTCCATGCAAAATATGAAGTTCAGCTACATCTTTACTATTATAATATACAGCAATATGAAGAACACTTTTACCAGATTTATTTATTTCATTGACATTTGCACCATGCAAGATAAGAAGTTCTGCTGCATCTTTACTATTATAATATGCAGCAATATAAAGAGCAGTTTTACCATATTTATTTTTTTCGTGGATATTTCCACCATGAAATAGAAAAAATTCAACTATTTCTTTACTATTATAATATGCTGCAAAATGAAGAACAGTATTACCAGATTTATTTTTTCATTGATTTTTGCACCATGAGAAAGAAGAAGTTCAGCTATTTCCTTATTATCATTTTCTGTTGTATTAAAAAGAGGAGTTTCTCCACTGAAATTTTTTTCATTGACATTTGCTCCATGCAAAATATGAAGTTCAGCTACATCTTTACTATTATAATATACAGCAATATGAAGAACACTTTTACCAGATTTATTTATTTCATTGACATTTGCACCATGCAAGATAAGAAGTTCTGCTGCATCTTTACTATTATAATATGCAGCAATATAAAGAGCAGTTTTACCATATTTATTTTTTTCATTAATATTCGCACCATGTAAAAGTAGAAGTTCAACAACTTCTTTATTATTATTTTCTGCTGCATTATGGAGAGGAGTTTCTCCATAGTAATTCTTTTCATTGACATTTGCACCATGTGAAATAAGAAATTCAGCTGTTTCTATATTATTTTTAAATGCTGCCTTATGAAGAGGAGTCTCGTCGTAATTATTTTTTTCATTAATATTTGCACCATTTAAAATAAGAAATTCAATAATTTCTTTACAATCATTTTCTGCTGCATCATGAAGAGGAGTTTCTCCTTTGTTATCCCTTTCATTGATATTTGCACCATGCAAAATAAGGAATTCAACTATTTCTTTACTACTTTTCCATATGGCATAATATAGGGCTGTTTTTCCATTCATATCTTTTCCATTGATATCTGCACCTTGTGAAAGAAAAAACCGACAAAGGGATGGAATACAAAACATCGTCGAATTAGCAAAACATTTGTTTACATCATTTATTTGATCGAAATAAACTAAAAATGAATTAATCGAAGTATAATAATTTTGGAAATATATAACTTGGGCTAATTTAAATATTCATGATATGACCATTGCCTAAGTGAGTTTTACATATAGATCTGTATGCATATAAATACTACGACGTTATTGAACTTATTCATCAGCACATCATAATTTCTTAAATCAAGCAGAGTTTATATAACTCTCTATTTAATAAGAATTTGAAATTAATGATATCTCGAGCAAATTAAGCTATAATATACAATTTATATTATTAGACAATTTTAATAATTACCTATAAGTTCACAATATTCATAATAATTAATATCGAAAACTTATACAAGCTACTTTGCATAAAATTATTTCTCTGGTTATAATATAAAATTACTTGAAACTATTAGCTATCGGTCACTTATATAAATACATAAGAGTTTATTAACAAACAAGATCATATTATGAATGATCATAAAAATATGTATGAATAAGATAAAATAATATATGAAATAACACAAAACTGCTAATGAAATCTTCAAATTAAAGATTGTATTGTGGAAGTCATCAAGCTAACTCTAATAAAGACAAAGTATGAGTTATTCTGCCCATTTACCAACTGCTTCAATATTGTCAATGAATGTATCTAGAGCAGCGTCCAAACCGGCTTCTGGAGGTGTACCGAGAACAAGAGATTTGGCAGTATTCCTTGGATATTGTTTTTCAGGAGATTTCTTAATTCTTATGACAGGTTCACGATGATGATGATCATGCTTCTTTTTCTTTGGCTTGAATCCGAGTGAAACATTGGCATCAGTCATTAAGTTAACTGCAATTGAAGGTCGAATTTCTGATAATTGATTATTTTTCATTTGCTGTACATTGCTTTTATTGTTTACTGTAACAAATGAAATTTTAGGATCAATTCTATGTGGTTGTGTAATTTTAGGATATATTTGACTTAAATTTTCATTTTCGTCGAATTTTGGCTGAGTTGGATAAAATTTCACTGGACTTAAAGCTTTTCTGGCTAAATAATCTAAATATTTTGTTTCACTTTTGAGGTCATCTAAATTCCATCTTGGCTTGCGATGTGATTTTCTATGTTTCTTTTCGGTATAAACAGGCTGTCGTGATAGTTTTGTTTCAAGACGTGCAAATTCAAGTTCTAATAGCTGAAATTGCTTGTCATCCGAATACATTTTGTTGAATTCTAAACGGCTACTTCGGAGATTTTTTTAATAGGAGATGGATAATTTTTTACCATCAGAGCACCATGCTGATAAAATAATCAAAATTGATTTCCTATAAGATTTTCAAATTCTACTCACAATATTTGAAAAATCTTATAACTTTATTGATGAATATCTTATTGTTATAGACTTTACTATTGATACTGTGTCATTTGATACCTATGGACTTAATCAAAATTCATAATTGATATCTGAAATCTTTTTGGTTATTATTTTCCATATGTATAGCATAGCACCATTTTCTCCAAATGAATTTTTAAGATTTTTAATATTTTTAATGTCTGATCAAGACATTCACCCAAATAAATACAGTGAGTTGCGAAGTATCTATAAATATTACATCGATTCATATAATAGGTTGTATCATCTGAAAACGGAAAAAGAAGAAGATTTAAACTCAATTTACAAAATGCTCAAAACAGAACTGATTGATTCAAATAAATATCCTCCGCAAATAATTATGAGAGACATTTTGAATATCATTCCGTATAATAATCGCTATACAAAGTCATATTTATCTCTTGCAAAACTCGTATCTGATGAATATCAAGTAACAGAAGTCAACGATATTTGTATTTGTTCAAACTTCCTGTTTTATAAAGAATATGGCATTAAATTAAACAAATTTGAGGATTTTGAAATAATTAAAACAGAAAATCTTGAAATTCATACAGAAAATACAACTTACAAAGCAATTATGTATAATGACTTAGAAAGATTCATCTCATACACAGAAAGAGAAGAATTTGATGATGATCAAACACTTAAAAGCAAATTATATCCAGACTCTTATAATGGATATTCATTACTTGAATTATGTTGTTACCACGGAGCAGTTGATTGTTTCAAGTTATTAAGAACGAAATTTAACTCAGAAATAACTCAAATATGTCTCCAATTTTCATTTTTAGGAGGAAATCCAGAAATCATGAGTGAATGTTTGAAATATAAAAAACTAAATCAAGATTGCATGATTTATGCAATTATTTCACACAACATTGATTTTGTTACATTCTTGATGAATGAATGCAGTATAGAGATCGATTTACTGTATTGCGGGTTATATAAAAATCTTGAATCATTTTTTGTTTATTTCGATCAAACAAATGATTTTAACAAATGCTTTGTTTGTTCAACTATATTTGGCATATCATCTCTTTGCAAGTATTTAATTTCACTTGGTGCAAATATCAATGAAAAAGGCGAAAAAGGAAAAACCGCTCTTCATATTGCTGCAGAAAACAATAGTAAAGAAATAGCTGAACTTCTTATTTCACATGGTGCAAATATCAATGAAAAAGATATTTTTGGGCAAGCCGCTCTTCATAAGGCAGCATATAAAAATAGTAAAGAAATAGCCGAACTTCTTATTTCTCATGGCGCAAATATTAATGAAAAAGATGGATTGGTAAAAAAAGCTCTTCATACCGCTGCAAATAATAATAGAAAAGAAACAGCAGAAGTGCTTATTTTACATGGTGCAAATATCGATGAAAAAAATAATTTTGGGCAAACCGCTCTTCATAAGGCAGCACTGAATAATAGTAAAGAAATAGCCGAACTTCTTATTTCACATGGTGCAAATATTAATGAAAAAAATAAAGATGAAAGAACAGCTCTTCATATTGCTGCATTATATAATATAGGGTGTCCAAAGGTGTGTTTAGCACAAACCTGAATACTGCGAATAGAAATAAACAAGTTACATATATATAAAGTTTATTTAAATATAATCACCATTGGATTCAATCACGCGTTCGCAGCGATCGATCCAGGCTTGAAAGACACGCTTTAAATCATCATGAGAAAATTGCTCAAATTGCTCTCTTACAAAAATTTCAAGATCATCTGGACTCGCGAATTCGCGTCCTTCAGCTCTCTTTTTTAGCGTGCCGAATAAATAAAAGTCAGAGGGTGCAATATCAGGTGAATAAATTGGGTTTGTAACAACTTTGACATTGTTTTCCACCAAGTAATTCATTACCTTATGACTTTTGTGAACTCTTGAATTATCAAAATGAATTGCAAACTTTTGTTTTTGTTGTTTGGATTTCTCAAACTCATCAGAATTGATAATTTGAGTAAGAACATTGTCAATTAGATACTGAGCATTCATCGTATTAGGTTTTTGAAGAATATCAATTGCGATGATGTCATTCACGCCCCAAAAAACCGACAACATCATCATTGGTGTGTCAATTTTTTTCTTCGGGAATGTTTGCGGATTTTCATCCTTCGGGATCCACATGATTTTGGCTTCTGTTGCATATTGAAACCAAGACTCGTCCCCTATTACTAAAAAGCGAAACTTCTTGGATTGATACGCACCCAATATAGAGAGGAGCTCTTTCGAAGATTGGACTCTAGATTTTTTTTGAAACTGAATTAAGGTTTGCGGAACCCAACGTGTATACGCTAGTTTGTAGTTCAAATAATGTGCAGATAATAACTGACTGTTGTACGTGGTATCTTTGTCATCTCCTCTATCCTTCTGAGTGATGCTCTTGGGTCTTCATCTAGCGCTTGAAGAATTGCTTTGATTTTTCTTTGATCCGGCGATTTTTTGTCAATTTTTATGATGGGCGCCTTTTTGTTCATGAAGTGATACATCCTAACATGATACGTTACAGTGGAATAGCTAGGAGCATCCATACCGAAGCATTATACCAATGTCTCGTAGATTTTTTACAGTCTTTGCATTTTTTTGCAAGAGCGAGGATGTTTTCTTTATGATTCATTAAAAAAATGAAAAAAATCCCGCCAAAATTTCCCGCGAAACCGCCTCTTGTCTCAAAATTCATTTTATATCCCGGCATGGCGCCAAAATACAACTTACTCATCATATACATATATTCATATTTTTTATTATATATTTATAATCAGCATATATCTCCTTTAATAGTCTCATATAGAGCGCTGTGCTAAACGCACCTTTGGACACCCTATAGTAAAGATGTTGCTGAACTTCTTATTTCACATGGTGCAAATATTAATGAAAAAAATAAAGATGAAAGAACAGCTCTTCATATTGCTGCATTATATAATAGTAAAGATGTTGCTGAACTTCTTATTTCACATGGTGCAAATATCAATGAAAAAGATATTTTTGGGCAAGCCGCTCTCCATTTTGCAGCATATAAAAATAGTAAAGAAACAGTCGAACTTCTTATTTCACATGGTGCAAATATTAATGAAAAAGATGGATTGGAAAAAACAGCTCTTCATATCGCTGCAAATAATAATAGAAAAGAAACAGCAGAAGTTCTTATTTCACATGGTGCAAATATCAATGAAAAAGGTGAATATGGAACTACCGCTCTTCATATTGCGGTATTGGATAATAGAAAAGAAGCAGCTGAATTTCTTATTTTACATGGTGCAAATATCAATGAAAAAGATATTTTTGGGCAAGCCGCTCTCCATTTTGCAGCATATAAAATAGTAAAGAAACAGCCGAGCTTCTTATTTCTCATGGTGCAAATATTAATGAAAAAGATAAAGATGGACAAACAGCTCTTCATATTGCTGCAGATAGTAATAGTAAAGAAACAGACGAGCTTCTTATTTCACTTGGTGCAAAGAAATGATTTTAAAGATTAAAAATGGAACACTGCTCTTTAAATTGCAGCAGTAAATCTTAATTAATATTTGACTAAACTATTTATTTCACGTTATCCATCATATAAAGTTCCTAGATGTAGAGACTCAGTTTTTAGAAATAACGATGGGAATCTCCAAAATATTGAACTCTTATTATATATATAAGTTTACATTCAGCATTTCTAGCCTGAGAAAAGGACTTTTATTTAGGATATATATTGAATAGATCATCAGATGTTTAACTTGGGGCTTAGGATTAAAATTGTGCAATTTCTTTCTTTTCTATAAGAGTACACTTATCACATTCTGACATGAATTTGCGAAATCATTAAATCTTTATTGGAATAGCAAAAAAGTATCACAATCATACTAGACATCATATATTAACTTTTACATTTAAATCGCAAATTTCTATGGTAAAAAATTATGAGCGCATACTTAATTCTTTATGGGATCTCATCCATATAGGCTATTCCTGTACTCCATAGACGATACAAACAATATGAAACAAATATATCACCGTAAATAAAAGAAGATAAGAGCTCACACAACAATAAGGTTTTATGTCTGTTTCAAAAAATGCACAAAAACGATTATTTAAAATTGAATTGGCACTTTATTTGCTTATTTGTAAAATTTTGGAATTGATCATCATTAAAAATGAAATCAATTAATAAAGTATAGCAACAACTGCATATGCAAAAAATATAAAAGAAAAAATACATTCATTTTTGACTACTTTATGCTGATTAGTTTTTAAATACACTAATAATGCACAGATTGAATGTACAATAATTTTTTTTGGATTTGCAGGAAAACCCATACAATAAAACTTTTTTTTATCTAATATTTTTTTAATTATATACAAACAATATCTATAAAAAACAAAAATCTCTTAAATATCTTCAATGTCTTCTACAGAATCATAGTCATTTTTGTCACCTTTAAATTCATATTTCTTTCCATTTGCTTCATAAACTTTTCTGATAACTTCTATTTCGAAGTGTTTTTCTAATTCAAGACCATTTGATTCCAAATCAGATATAATCTTGAAAGCGGATTTAAAATTATTCTTTGTTATGTAGCATTTCGCCAAAACAACGTAAACATCATCTGTTTTGACGTATTCTTCAATTTGTGGATCTTTCAACATATCAACACATATTCCCATCGATTTTGCACTCGTTTCTGGATCATTGCAAAGATTATTCGCAATCAAAAATGAATCAATAACATTTATCGATCTTTCAATATCACTTTTTGACTTCACTTCACTTACAGATTTTTGGAAATTTTCCAAGATCTTTTTGAGCAAAACCAAGACATTTTCGTAATTTCCATTTTCTCTTTGATTGTTTATATGGAAATTATAAAAATTAAAGAGGTTTTGGACCATATTTGTTTTCTTGTATATTTCTTCAACAGTACGAAACTCCTTTGAGTCGATTCCGATGTCTAGAGTCTGCAAGTAATTCGCGCAAATCAAGTAACAGTCTTTTTTCTTCATCATCTTCAACATTTTGATAACTTTATCGGTATCGCCTGTTTTTATGATGCATTGGAGAGCTTCTGGGTACTTCCTGATCTTTATGTATATCTTAGAAGCGAGTTGGTTCTGTTGTTGAATTTCGCATATTTCTGCAAACTTCAAATACATGTTTTCGTCCAAGTTTTGGTCAATAAGGGACAAAATCTCTTTCTCTTCAAGCGAAATATGGTGGGATTTGCAGAGATCTAGGACATCATCAAATTTCTTGGCGAATAAAAGACATTTGGCGCATGAATTCCATCTGTCTGATTCCGCAAAATAATGGGAACATTGAACTAATATTTTTGGATTCATTTCGGGAGAAAATTTTTCCGAAATTTCTTCCAAAGCATCGTATTGCTTAAGTTCGAAGCATAAACTAAGGGCTTTGGAGATATTCCCGCAATGTGAATACATCAAAATGGCATTTTTTGTCATGTTTAATGACGAAAACCATTCTGCAGCGCGAAGAACTAATTGTTTGGGGCTGGAGAATGATAATTGGATAACATCATCGATCATCATCTTCTCCATGGCGTATTTCATGGCTTGGCCAAACTGTTTCGCGTTTTTAAACAATTCAATAATTTTTTGTTTCAATTCCCCTGCAATTTCGTGGTTTTCTGTTTCACTACGCTCTATATGTTCAACTCTATCTATCAAATATCGTGCTAAACAGCAGAAATCAGATGGTTTTCGTGCATTTTTTACAAATTTCATCGCATCTTCCCATCTTTTGAGTAGAACAAGGAGTCTGATGTGCTCACAGTCGTTCTTTGCTTCGAGATACATCGCTAGAGCGTATTCATAGTTCTTTATCGCTTCAAAATACCGTGCACAATATAATTTTATTTTGTTTGAAGCTGATAGAGGGTTTTTCTTGAGGAAATCAAATACTACTTGAGGTCCTAAACTCATTGCAAGTCTTGGAATCTCGTTTTCAAGAGTTTGTGAGAGATTATAATGTTCAATCGCTTTTTCGTAGTTTCCAATGATTTCATTGTAGCGTCCAACCTCGTAGTGAACTCTTTTGAGTACCATCCTTGCGTTAAGAGTCGAATTACGTATGGATTCTTCGAAATTTCCCAAACTTAATTCGATATCAGACAAAATATCGTATCTTTTCGAGCTGATTGCAATGCTTTTTGCTTCGTTATACAGTTTTAATGCAATTGCAGTTAAAATACTTGATCTATCTCTGTCTGTTTTGTATTTTGAAATTATTATCGAAAAAGGATCTTTGATCTTTGACAAACAAAGGGCTGCAAGGTCTATACGGTCTGATTGGCATGCAATGAGAGCTAGCGATCGCCATGTTGCTGAGTTATCTGTCCATTTTATGGAATCAAACGCGTCGTCAATACTTCCTGTGCATAAATTGTAATTAAAGTCAAGAATAGCACGTTTCGTGTCTTCGGAAATTTCATCGACACCTTCAAATTGTGGCAAAATTTGAGAAAACGGTTTTTTATCGTTGTCGAAAAGGAAAACATAAGGAATATTAAGATATTTCAACAACGAATGGGTTGGTATATCGAATGACTGCTGGAGAAAGATGTCCCCTTTATTACTAATAAATATTGGAATGATAACTTCGCTTTTTAGCTGTCCAGAGATATCTTTCGGTGATGCTTGAATACAAAGCAGTCTTTGATCTTCCTCGTCCCATGAACATGTTATAGGAAGTCTGCCTGATAAGTTTACAGTGACAGTTCTGTCTAATTGAGGAATATGAATATAAAGATTTTCATCTCTTTGCCAAATTCCATCTTTGAATACATCAATAATAAAAGAAACGAATTCTCCACTACAGCTTCCTTTCATTTCCCTGATTAAAATGTCTTTTTTCTCATCTTTGAAATTTAATGCTGAAGAGAATATATTTTTTGGCTGTCTACGCGTTAAATCATATGTATTGATAGTGTAGTCTTCGAAAAGAACAGTTAAGTACTTCCCAAACAAAGAAAATAATATTGAATTTAAAGGAAGCGAAACTGTTTGTTTTACAACACCTTGGAGGTTTCTCACCTCGATATTCTTCTCATTTACAGTGTATATGGCCTCTCCAACCATTCCTGAGTACGATTTACATGAAAATCTCGAAATTGATGCGAAAGAATTGTTTTGTTCCATGAAAATTTCGCATCTCTCTGGTGAAGAACATAATAAACTGCTATCTGACTTACTAATCTTCGATCCAATTGCGATATTAAACTTTTCATCCGCATAATTTAAAATTCCTGGCGAATTTTCGAATACAGTTGTTCTCAAAAGAGGGGCCATGGACAAATAAACCCTGAAAATTAATTGAGAAGGTCTGTTTTCACATAAAAATATGGCATTTTCATAATTATGTGACCAATGGACTGATTTAACATTGATATTCATATCTGTTAAAACAGGAGTAGCCCAACTAGACTGATTAATGTATCCTTTGAAGTTTGATTTTATCTGATACAAAGATCCGTCATTTAGAACAGAAATAATGGAATAAGTGTAAGGATCATATGATATAGATATAGGATATTGTTCATTTTTGAGACGAATGATCTTTGATTCTTCATTTTCTAAATTATAAATCATTATTTGACCTTTTGTTTGTATTGCAATGTGGGAAAGATCAATTTGGGTAACTAATACAGGCCCATCTCCTATTTTGGATGTAGTAAGTCTATTTTTGTTAAATGGAAATTTTTTGGTCAAAATCTCTCCTTCTTTTGTAGTAAATATGATTGAATTATCACGTAAAACATTAACAGTTTCAAAATCTGTTTGTATTTGTAAGATTTCATCAGGTTCTTGATATAATGATTCAAATAAATACAAAGATTTGTATTTTGATAGAAAAATTAATGAAGGCTTGTCTAAGTAAAGCCATTGAATGTTAGTAATTGAAATATTGAATTTCTTTTGTACAATTAATTCTGGAATTTCTCCTTCACAATTCCAAATGCAAAAACAACCAGAATCATCAAATGTGTAAAACATTTCATTGATAGGAGACCATTTTATTTCAGAAATGGCTGCAGAATGAACTAATTTTGCTTGAAATAGTGCAGAATAATGATATATTTTCAAATCTCCCGACGAAAAACCAATCGCTAACTTATTTGAGATATTGCTATAGGAAAGGAATGATATGCTTGTTAACAAATTTAATACTTTATCTTCGATTTCTTCTCCGCGCTGGTTTAGTATGTGTATGATAGAAGAACTATCTAGAACTGCACATGTAGTACATGAATTCGACCAAGAAATGTGTTTAATTGATAAAGATCTACCAATTTCTTGGTGAACATAATCCATTTATTATTTTTTTTATACCCGATCGACAAGTTTGTGTTCATGTGGCTTGGAAAGAGACACTCTGAAATGGGTACTTTAACAGGAAATAAAGCTTTTGAGGAGTTTCTAACAATAAACAACTTTTTGAGATTATGCTTTTACTAATTTCATGCCAATAGTTCGAAATTTGGAATTTAGAAACCATTTGAAGAGCAGGAATATTATTACTCTATTATTTGCTCTCTATATGAACTCAAATGTCAATGAAGTTAGGAAAGATTAACCGAGTCATGATCATGGAAAGGCAATGATGCACACATAGCATTATCATAGATATTATAGCTTCTTCGGTAATTCATCCTCGATTAATGTCTTATCTAATGAATTAAAAAATCATTTTCTTGCAGAAGAATATTTATTTCATAAATTATGGAGTTATCTCTCAGCGTTTGATATGCAAGTATATTCTTTTATAGTTTTAACGATGTCTGTGCACTGTTTTTGACGGTCTAATATTACTCCTCGTTCATTGCCTTTGGATATAGAATAAATTTGAGAAGAATTAAATTTCCCATGGGAATTCATTAATGCAGACAAGTTAATGGCTGATCTTAATTGTTGAGAATAGCCATATATATTATTCTATGCACCAATTTAAATTTTAAGGGTATAGCCTTAAAGAGATAAAAATAACCTTAAACAATATATTTTCAGATCAAATTTTTATTTCATATGAAAAATCGGATCAATAGAAATTAACCAAGCATAGATTCACCAAAATTAGTTAACGATAGTATACCTGGTGCTCAAGTATTAGTAACTCGTGTCAGAAATCAATATACCTTCGATTATCCTTGCCTCTCAAGTTCAGATTGCATAGATTATACATTTGTTCTTGAACCGGGCGCATACAAATTCGAATTATACGGAGCATCTGGTGGATCTGTCACAAATAAAGTTTCATCATATCGCTTTGCAAATAACAGCTGCATATCTAATGAGATTGTTAAACAACATAATGGAAATACAGAATGCTATCAAGCTTCCAGCATAGGGGGTGCTGGTGGCTTTATTTCGGGCATAATCACCCTAAATAAACCAACCATCACTTTTCTTACTGTTGGCGGTAAAGGAAATTATTCATATAAAATCAAAGCAGAAAACACAGAAGAATGCTATAAAACAGAAAATTTGATAAAAGTGGCTATGGTGGCGGTGGAAGCTCTGCAAATTATTATAGTCTTCCGCAAGGTAATATTAAACACGGTACAGGGAGTGGCGGTGGTCAAAGCGCTGTCAAATTTCTAGAAAATGACCTCTGGCACCGCGTGATTGTGAGCGGTGGTGGAGGAGGTTGTGATGATTCTTTTGGTACATTTGGAGGTGATGAAGATGGATCTGGAGGTGCTGGTGGAAATTTGACTGCTCAAGGTTGGTTCCAAAACGGAAAATTAGTCTCAAATTTCTTGGCGACCTCCTCATCAGGCTTCACTTTTGGAACAGGTGAAGCAGCCAGATACGGTGCATCTTTGAACTCGAATGCTGTAAAAAATAGTTATCATGCTGATAACGCGGGCGCTGGTGGTGGTTGGTTTGGTGGTTTTGCTTCTCAAGCTGGGAATGCAGGTGCTGGCGGTGGAAGTTCGTGGGCTTTGACATACGATGCTTTTATTCCAAGCGGACTTATCAATGCAGCAGATGAATTTTATCAAGGAATAAAATCCAAAAAATATGCTTTTACTAAACAGTCCGGATATTTATTTGAAGAAGTCGAAAATGTTCCAGGAATATGGAATGGTAATGGTCGTATAATCATTACCATTTTGGGTCGATTCTCATATCCATCCTGCTCAAGCAGAATTTATTTAAGTATAAATTTACTTCTTATTTGTTTATTTATGAATTAAACATTATTGTTTTTTATATTCAATCAACTCATGTATATTAAAACCTTTCAACACTGAGGGTAATAAATAAAATTCTGATTTGATAAATTTCAACCATATTTCTTGGATTGTATAAAATGCCATTGATGCCTTATAAATGAACAATCTAATGACATGCTGATCACTCTCCAATAAAATCAATTTTTTTGAAATTGCTTTTCAATCAATATCTCCTTCATTTCTGGCGCAGCGTATATGGTTATCGTGTTGATTGTAAACATTATGCTATGAAATGCTTCTAATAGTTAAAATTTCTTCCGCGATATTTCAAATATTTCATTGAATTTGAGATATAAGACGGAATAATAATTAAACAAACTATATGCTGCTTTTTATTTTTACGATCTACAAGATCGATGAAGACTTTGAAGTTGGAAAGAACTATACCATAGGTATTTCAAACCCATTAGAGAAGTACAATATTTCTTTTAATGCCGAAAATGAAGAAAATATGAAAATTATTGATTTATCAATTACATCTCCAGATTTATTTCGCGAGATTAGGATTGGCGATAAAGTAATTTTTAAGAATTGCTCAATTCCAATTAGATCAATCTCGGAACTTTCGTTGCGAAATATCAAAATTCCAATAATGATATTTCCTACTTCACTCACGACGCTTAGCTCATACTTTGCAGCAGATTCCTTTATTGATAACATTGATTTGTCAAAAACAAATGTAGATATAATTCCGAATTACGCTTTTGCTGATACGAAATATACAAAAGAAATAGGATTACCGAAGATCTCAAAGTTAATCTCGGAGTTCGCCTTTCTAAATTGTGTTAAATTGTCAAAAATTTCGATTCCTCATGATTGTGATATAGATAGTGCTAATTCTGGTTTTTATAATTGTTCAGAACTCAAAACAGCCGATTTATCGCATGCAAAAATTTCAAAAATTCCAAGATTTTTATTTGCAAATTGTTTTTCACTCGAAAATGTAATACTCCCTGAAGTACAGCAGGTAAGTGAATTCGCTTTCCTAAATACAAAAGTTTCCGCGGAGCCATTACAAAGAATCAAAAATTTTGATGATTATGCCTTCGCCGGAATTCTTAGTCACTTCGAAATTACTCTTCGCCTTCAAAGGATCCCAAAAGGATTACTTATGGACTGTGAAAATCTCCAAAAAGTTTCTTTTTCGAAATCTGTCGAAGTGATCGAAGATTTTGCATTTAAGAACTGCATCTCACTCAGAATTATTGAAGTACCAGAAAACTCAGAGTTACAATCGATTGGAATTGAGTCATTTCAAAATACAAAAGCTCTTGAAGAAGTTTCATTATTGAACATGAAAGTTAATATGATATACGACAAGGCTTTTATGGGTAGTGGTATTAAGTCATTTACTCCTTCTAATTTTCTGAATGAAATTTCTGATTATGCGTTTTCAAATTCATCTATTGAAATATTCATCGGAAAACCAGAACTCACTCGATTGCATCCAGGATGTTTTATGGGATCATCATTATCTGCTGTAGATTTGAGATCATCAAAAAAGATTTTACAATTACCGGCCATGGCGTTCAAAGATTGCCTTTCCCTTGAACTAGTTTATCTTCCTGCTAACGATTTGATCTTAGGAGCATCCATTTTTGAAAATTGTATTTCCTTAGCTTCAATGGTCTTCGCGAAGTCTGTTTCCTTCGAATCCAAGACATTTTACAACTGTACAAACCTTCAGTTCGTTCTATTTTCCGAAATAAAAGGAATGACGTCTCGATTTGGTTATCATTTCGCTTATTGCTCCAAAATACGGATAATTGGAGGCGTTAACTCAGAAGTAAGTCCTAGTGAGCCAATGATTAACTTCACAGCGATCAATTTCCATGTAATTAAAGATTATTCTTTTATGAACTGCACAACAATCAAAACTGTTATTCTAGGACCTCAAAGGGAGCTTGGAGATTACCTGTTTTGGGGCTGTTCAAGCCTAAATTCCGTTGATCTTTCTAAAACAGCAATTCAAAGAATTTCTACAGGAATGTTCCTAGGTTGCACCAACCTGAAATTCTTGTATTTGCCTCCTGGCTTCCAATCCTTCGCTCAATTTTCACTTCATGGAGTTGATAAAATTTTATTTTGGTATTGCGGCCGAAATGACCTTACTTTCGAGTACAACGCGTTGGATGGTCTCACAGAATACGAGTTTTTCGCAAGCAACAATGTAAAACTCAACGTTTCAACACCAAATAAAATTGAACGCTGCTGGGATCAACAAACACCATCTTATAACAACCCAACGCGATCTCCTAAAATTATAACAGATAATGGTAGGTCAAATCCTCCAGAAGTTCATAAATATACACCAAGACAAACAGAAAAAGTAACTCCGAACAATTATTCGGCCAGTATTCCACGGGTGAAGTCTGGATTCGGACCAAGTTTGTATCAAGGAAGAAAGAAACCAGTAGTTGTCACAAAAATCACTATAATTATTATTTCTTTATTTTTTGTTTGCGCTTTCTTGCCTTCTATTTGCATTGCTATTAGAATATGCAAGAATAGAAGGATTGAGCATATCAAAGACCAAAATGATGAGAAATCTCTTGTTAATAATTCATATTTCGATTACAAAGCAGAAATTGATTAATGTTTATTCGTGTATTTGTTTTGTTATAAAATAGATATTTTATATTTTAATTCATCTGTTTTTCTTTTAAAATAACATTTTGATTCAAGATGAAATGTAGTGTAATATAAACATTAATCTTCTAGAATTTGGGTATTAATGATCTATGAGAGTAATCTGAGAATTAATTCTCTTTGGAATTCTTTCTCCCCCATTTTTTTTTTGGAATTTATTGAGTGGAATGTGGAAAAAAAAATCTTCAAAATTCCAACAAAAAATCAAAAAAATGGATGTTGGTGAAATAGATCAATTTAGAAGGAAATTTCATTACGTTACAGATATTGTTTCCATACAGAAACCTTACTCGAGTCCTGATGAAAGTGCTGACTACGAACCTTACACCCATATTGATGGAATCTCTGTTCATCTTAATCCAAAACATATACCGAGAATGCAAATCATGATGGTTTGCAACGAAGAAGATTTGGAAAACAATGTTCCTCCAGATTAAGTTCAAAAATGACAAAATTTTAAACTAAAGCTCTCAATTTTTTTTCCAAACAAATGGTTAAGGTCGATGAAAAAATGAGCGTTTTAAAAAACCGCCGTTTGAGAGGAAAATTGAGAGCCCCGATGTATACTTTTTGACATTGTCAAAAACTTTGAAAGGACCAAAAAAATTTTAGTGTCAGAAAGTTTACAAATGTATACTTTCTGACAAACAGACTCTCAGAAAGTACTCAAACTGCGGTTTTTAATTTCCGCACTTTTTTTGGCGACCTTATAGGAAAAATTATTTTTTGTTGAATGCTAGGCAATGATCAGAACTCATCCAAGGGAAGATCATAATTGGTATTTTTACTCTCTATCGTTGCGAGCGTGAGCGCGCGAATGTCAAAAATTGCTCGCCGAGCAGCTCCCCATAATTATGGCTATCGTCTTGCATGTATAGACAAGAGTCTTATACTCCCTATATTATAATGCCAAAGCACTTAATATTTATGAGATCGATATATGATATAATTTAAGATTAAATATTTCAAAGTGTATCTTATATCAATTTAAAACAAAAGCTAATTTCATTTATATTCATCATATTTCAAGAAGATCATAATTTTGATAGAGAAAAAAGAGTAAAACTCCTATTAGTTAAAATAATCTTTATTAAGTATTTTGTTGTGATCGAAGAATTTTAGTTCTTTCCTGCGGCAGCTGCAGCAATTTGATCCTTAAGCTCTGGATGTTGTTCTTGGAGCTTCTTAAGCATCTCCATATTCTTGAGTTCGTCTGTTGTTGGCTGTCCCATTGCCTTTGCGCGCTGATCATACATCATTTTCTCTACTGTTTGGCGTGTTTCTGGATCTAAGTCTTCGAGTTTGCTGTTCTCTGGAACGCACTTTGTAGTATCGATCTGTTCATCGCCCTCGATAACATTAGCCCACCATTTCTGGCCAGTCTTCTTGATAAGATTGACTTGGATTTCGCGGCCATCTTTGGAATCTTGGATACTCCATGATGACTCACTTGGAACAACTGGCTCAGAAAGTTGGCCATCGACGATTGGTGTCTGATTCTTAACACCAACTATTAAATGATCCTTTGTAATTTTGCAATTAACCATTTTACTTGGTATGCCTTTCTCAACTTTAACATAAACTGTGACATCTTCTAATGTCTGATCCCAAGTGTAGTTTTTTCCTTTGTATTCCATCTTAAGTAGCCGGATGACATGTGATATAAAAAATAAATCAAATTTAAAAATTTCCCTAGAATTATGAGCATTCCCTTTTTGCTTGCGCCACAGAAAATGCAAATATTAATCGTCAAACAAACTTAACAAGATTAGGAATTTCATCTTTAAAAGCCACGACTTATCTGGCATTTTACAGTCATTTCCATCTTGACTGGTGAGGTGAATGCTTGAACTTTGATCAAAATTTCAGAATTGATATCATTTCAAAAGTTTATCAAGCAGAAACTTTTCAAAAGCAGAAACGTTGATTTGCACCAAGAATCAGATGGTTGCATGTGAATAGATTTATCACCTTCATTCTGTGAGTTTGTGAGGACATCCTATATTTTAGTTGATTTGTTAGCTTCTCTCAAAGACAAAACTTCACACAGTCTATTCATCAGGGCTTGTCAGCAAATAAGAAATATTACACTCGAACAGCAGAATATATTTCAGAAGATCAATTGCAACTATTATTAACTACTGAAATATGAAGAGATTTCTTTTAGGCTATCAGAACCAAAAAATAAGAGGTACGACTGTTTCCTTACTATTGAATGAATAATATAGTTTTCTCCATCAGGTAATATGAATATGAAGGAGTAAATCCGATTTGAAACTGTTCAAGAAAGATTCGAAAGAATGAAAAGCTTTGTGTTTACTTGAGGAAAATAAGATACGGTTGATATTAATTTTTTATTTAAGAACACTGATAAGTTTTTAAAGCTTTTTGATAGGGATATGCATACTTTGCACTAGGTTTTCCTATTGCTAGGAGCATGGCTAGCTGATAAGCTATTGGAGAATTCATTATCGAAATAACAATGAATATTTTATTAAAGAGAAATATAGCAAATATGATAAGATTAAGTACAAATAATCCAACTCTTTCGATGATTTTCAAAAGTTTGTATTGAAAAATTTTGAAAAAGCTGATATTTTATGAAAGTAAGGAGGACATTTAACAAGAGTATATTAGAAGATAAATATGTACTGAACAAATTAAAGAAATATGAAAGAATTCATTTCAAAGCAAAATTGGATAAAATAAGATTGAATTCAATTACTGTACTTTTAAAAGATAAATCCTAAGTCTCATCACACTTTTCAATGCTCGATTTTTAAAAACTGTTTAAAAATGGAGCTTATATTGAAATAGTGTAGGGACTAAAAATTGCCACTCAATCCTCTGAAAAGTCTGAGGTAATTTGCAAAATTCATAAGGACGATCGGAATTGGGAATTACAAACATTGAAAAAATAAAAGATTGAGAGAAAATTATAGAATAATTAATTATTATCAGCATACAATATTAGATAAAAATGCACGTCAAAATTTTGAATATTGACTATCCAAAATTGAGGGCTAAAAAACAATGAAGTAAAATTGTGAGAATAAAAAATGCCAATCCATGGTTCTTGATCGCGAAACTATGTAAGAGCATTTATGTCACATCCGAAAATGTTTTTTGAGACCACTTATATGTTGGAAAAAACCTCAGGACGAAGAGCTCACAATTTTGAGAGGAACCTCTGACCACTCAAGGTCACTCAATTGAAACAAATTGAGAATCGTTTAAGTTTCTCTTCACTTTTATTAATTATGGCTCAAGCATTCAACAAGAGCAAGAAAGTTCAGGCATTCGTCGACGAGTTCGTCGCCCTTTGCAAGCCAAAGAATGTTATGTGGATTGATGGTTCCCAGGAACAAGCTGATATGCTTTTCAAGCAAATGGTTGATTCCAAGATGGCAATCAAGCTTAACCAAGAGAAGCGCCCAGGATGTTACCTTTACCACTCCGACCCACGCGATGTCGCTCGTGTTGAGTCCCGCACATTCATCTGCTCCAAGAACAAAGAAGATGCAGGACCAACAAACCACTGGGAAGATCCAGAAGTCATGAAGAAGAAACTCCGTGGTCTCTACAACGGCTGCATGGAAGGCCGTACAATGTACGTCATCCCATTCTCAATGGGCCCAATCGGATCTTCAATCGGTAAGAACGGTGTCGAGATTTCCGACTCTCCATACGTCGTTGTCTCAATGAGAATCATGACCCGTGTTTCCACAAAGGTTCTCGAATGCATCGGTGAGAACGGCGACTTCATCCCATGCGTCCACTCTGTTGGTTACCCACTTAAGGATGGCCGCCAGGATGTTGCATGGCCATGCGACCCAGAGAACACATACATCACACACTACCCAGAGGAACAGGCTATCTGGTCTTATGGCTCTGGCTATGGTGGCAACGCTCTTCTCGGCAAGAAGTGCTTCGCTCTCCGTATTGGCTCCAACCTCGCCCGCAAGGAAGGCTGGCTCGCTGAGCACATGCTTATTCTTGGTGTCAAGAACCCAGAAGGCAAGAAGACATTCGTCACAGCTGCATTCCCATCAGCTTGCGGCAAGACAAACTTCGCCATGTTGATCCCACCAGAGGAACTCCGCAAGAAGGGCTGGGAAGTCACAACAGTCGGTGATGATATCGCTTGGATCAAGCCAAACAAGGATGGTGAACTCCGCGCCATCAACCCAGAAAACGGTTTCTTCGGTGTTGCCCCAGGCACAGCTATGACAACAAATCCAAACGCTCTTCTCTCCTGCGCTCGTAACACAATCTTCACAAACGTCGCTCTTACAGATGACGGCGATGTCTGGTGGGAGGGTATGACAGAGAAGGCCCCAGCTCACCTTATCGACTGGCAGAACAAGGACTGGACACCAGATTGCGGCCGTGTCTCATCACATCCAAACTCCCGCTTCGCTGCTCCAGCTGCTAACTGCCCATGCATTGATCCAGATTGGGAGAACCCAGCCGGTGTTCCAGTCTCCATCTTCGTCTATGGTGGCCGTCGTATGAACGATATCCCACTCGTCTTCCAGGCTACATCATGGGCTCACGGTGTTTACCTTGGTGCTACAGTTGGTTCCGAACAGACAGCCGCTGCTGCCGATGGTAAGCTCGGTGCTCTCCGCCGTGATCCATTCGCTATGCTTCCATTCTGCGGCTACCACATGGGTGACTACTTCAAGCACTACCTTGAGATGGCTAAGCTCGCCAAGACACCAATTGTCTTCCACGTCAACTGGTTCCGCAAGTCCCCAGCAGGCAAGTTCCTTTGGCCAGGCTACGGTCAGAACGCTCGTGTTCTCGGCTGGATGGTCAACAGACTCTACGGCAAGGCCCCAACACACATTTCTCCACTCGGCTACGTCCCAGAGTACGAGGATATCGATTGGGATGGCCTCAACTTCACAAAGGAACAGTTCCAGGAGCTTATGCACCAGGATAAGGAGAAGATCAAGGCCCAGGTCGCTGCTAACGATGACTACCTCAAGAACACAATCGGCCACGTTTCTCAGGAACTCCTCGACGTTTCTCAGGAAATCCTTAAGCGTTGCCAGTAAGTCTTAAACAGTTTCTTTCTTTCTGATCGATATTTTATAAATTAACTTTTGAATTTTTTTACTGTGTTTCTCTTAAAGTAAGAGACAAATTACTTTATTAAACTGATGAAAACTAATAATGATACGAAAGAGGATCGAAAACAATTATTTGCACGTAATGAACTCAATCTCTCAATGTTGATAACAGCATTTGGAGAGTTTGAGAATCCTGTCGTCAAAACCGAAACAAAACTAGGAGAAACATCAACTGTTTTGATGGTAGTGAGAAGAGAGAAGAATGTGTCTGTGTAGCGAATGTTCTTCTTTCCATTTAATCCGAACAATCGAACACTAGAATTGATTTCGTAATACTCTGAATAATATTCAGATGTTATGAAGGTAAGATTATCTCTCCCATAATTACTCATACTATTGAACGAGAAATTTCCTATAATAAGATCACTTGCACTGGCTCCAGGAAATCTATAAATAATTACTTTAATATCAGGGACTGTACAATTATAAAGAAGATGAAATACATCAGATGTGGTCTGAGGAATTATCATCTGCTTTAAAAACGAGATGCAATTAGTTGAAGAAGCCATAAATGTTTTAACACCATATGGAACTGTATAAATATGAGCTTTACGAGCACTAGGATAACAAATCAACTTTGTCATTAATTTGTTATATAATACTCCATCAAATACGCTAAAATATCGCGATTCAGGGCTAATTGTAAATTCTTCAAGGGAATATGTCCAATCAAATGAACCAAAGCCATGTAAGTCTTTGCAGTTTAATGGGATATGAATTGTTTTAATCTTTGTTTCGGCAATAATTGAATTTCCAATCTTCAGGATGGAATCTGGTAATTCAAGGGTCTCAAGGCATTTATATTGATAAAAGCACTCATCAGAAATTTCTGTAACATCCCCAAAAACTTTGAAATGAACACAATCTGTTTTATGGAAAGATTGTTGAGGTAAAACTGACGGGGGTTCAAAGAAAACAACTGTTTTATTGATCTCAGTCCAATTCATGTTAGAAGTTATGGGATATTAAAATTATTGAAACAATTTTTATATAGCATTTATAAAATTGATTTTTAAAATCACTTTGTTCTCACATCGTTGCAATATTTCTATTTTGAATTCACAAATTTTTAAAAATTGATCGAATAAAGATCTTCGTCTTCAAAACTAATCAGTTATCCATTAAGTACTTCTTTAATATCAAGTGAATCGCGCAATATTAAGATTACCACTGCTCTCATTTGGTAGTTGAGCTTTTTGGAATTTTATTTCAAAAATTTACTATTCCTTCCACTGCGAATAAACAAACTGTACTAAGCTTATCTATTACGATTTCTTTATTGTTCATTAAAGCTATTAAATTTAAAATTATTTACATTAGATTATCAATTCATGAAATCTAGAGAAACCACCGAACTCTGATGATCAGCCTATTATTTTTCAAGCAATTTTACTCAGATTAGATCAACTTAATAATTCATGATTTTTGTATTTGATTTATTACAAAGAGGGACCGATAGAAATAACTTAATTCACTCAGAGATATCATGACAATAATCACGATGCATAAATCAAAGATATTAAATTGTCTAAAATGAAATTCTTGCTTTTAGATGTTATTAAGCAGCTATTATGCAGAATCTATGGATACATGACAATATTTATATCTAAAATGCAAAATATTATTATGATGTGACGATAGGGTACATCACTCTAATTAGTGTAAACTCAAATTTTCTTTCATCAATACTACGTAAATGTCGCGAAACCAGCCGAAACCACATGCTGGAAAGAAGTCCATATCAAGCCATCCAAGTAGGACAAACGCAAATCCTGCAGAAATCTGCAATTTCATGCTTGATAAATATCATAAATCGCAAAATGACATAAATGAAGAAGATCACAAGCTGTTGCTTTACAATATGAAGATAGCAATAGAAAGCAATATATACACCGACATTAACGAAGACATTCTTGAACATTTTATCAAATCTACTTTTGAAAGCAGAACTAGCTTCAATCTCGACGAAATAGAGATCTTCCTCACATTACTATCCATTGACAAGCTTACTAAACTCAGAGATATTGAATTTCTCAAGATCTTGATATCCGAATTTAATAAGTTCTGTTTGAAGAACATATTTACAGAGAACAATGATATCCAGTCATTCAATATCATAAACATCATGCCATCTCTCTACAACATCCTTACAAATTGGCCAGATCTCGATGAATCAATCCTAAAACCGCTTTCATCGACCATTATCCGGTTATTCTACTGCAACCAGTCATCAGTAGTCCTTCAACGATCCACTGCCACCATCATTTGCCTCATCTTCCATAAGAATTTGGGTATCAACCAAGATATCATCCAAGAGATCATCTTTGAAGGCAAAAAGACCATAAATGAGAAGAAAACCATCACAATCATTGCAGATCAGAACGAAAAAGTCCAAGTTTCCTTGATGTCATATTTCCTTATCGAAATCATCCAAATTTCAGAGAATCCAGACGATAGTTATGGCCAATCCGATACAATATGCAAGAACGTCATCTCCAAATTGATCGAAAATTTCAATCCACAAAATAAAATTTTCGAAAAATTTTCAAAAGACGTTTCACTTTTATTGTATCATCCCAATTTTCCTGTTTGCGAATTGATTGCCAGGAATTTATTGATTGGATCAATGACAATGATCGAAATGAAGGAAGTCTACATCCAAACATGTCTTAATGTCATTTCAGAACTGATCAAAGCAGTTTCTAAAGGAAACAAACTCCAAAAAGAAGAAGTTTTCATAAGTTTTCCTATGAGTTTAATCGATAAAAGTGACGAAACGGTTTTATCACTTTACAAAAACTCAGAATTCCCCAGTAACACGAAAGAACGGGACATTGCAATTTATATATTGTTATCTTTCTGTCACAAGACTGAAAGCAACTCATTTTTATACAACAAGTCATCAGTTGATTATTTAATGAGTTATTTAAGTAACAAAACAGAAAAGAATGAATTGAAGAAAATCTATGACGACGCGACGAGAAATGATGACTACTCATTCCCTTTTGATTACAGTTTGATTATGAGTGTCTCCCTCTTCAAAGAAAATGAAATGAATCTCTCTTTGAAGAAATTAATCGATTTCATCTCAAAATTCAATACTCAAATGACGATTAAAAACCGTTTGACGATAATCAAGACGATAGCAGATTTGACATCCATTGACAGAACATTTTTGGGAAATCCTAATGTCATTAAACGCATTGAAGCATCGATTTCGGACATTTCTCCTTCTGTCAGAGAAAAAACGATAGAAATTCTGTCAAATCTTCTGACAAATGATGAAATGAACGAGAAATATTTCGACTGCATCATTTTATCTTTGAAAGATAAGTCTCCCAGTGTTATATCAACAGCTTTGTCTGTTTTGATGAAACAGAAAAACATTGAAAATCAAAATTGTCAAATCATTAAAAACGTAACAGTTTTATTGGACAGTCAATCATCAATTGTCAGGAAAAGATCAAAAGATCTTATCAAGAAACTTTTCGAGACAAATCCAATTTTGACATTTTCCAACATATTGATTCAAAATCTAATGAATGAAAACATTCAAAAAATTGTCAATAAAATGAATTTGACAGAATTAATCGTCGAAAAAACAATTGATACTTTTCAAGAAAATGTCACTTTAGAAGGTGTCAAAACCGTCGATTTTATATCCACGCATTATGAAGAGTTTGCAGTAAAATACAAATACTGCGACATTTTGATGAAATTACATAACGAAATTGAAATCGAAGACGATAGAATTTTGTCACTTTTATCAGAATCCATATCAAATTTATTATGTTACAATTTGATTGTTGATCAGAAACTTGCGAAAGAGACATTGAAGAAGTCCATTTTCAATCTCCAAAAAAGTGTTTCTGTTGATGTCATCTTCAGTGAATCAAAATTAAGTTGTTTTCTCGAAGAAAATATTCTTAAAAAAAGTGACATAACAAAAAACATTGTTAACAAACTTTTACAATTTTTGGACAACAAAAACGTCTCCAAAAGATCAATTTTGATCATTGGAGGACTTGGAAAATTCACAAAAGAAAATGACTTGAAATCCCAAATTTTCCAAAAACTCAAAGTTTTATATGAAAATTCAGACGATAAAAAATTCAGATCTATCGTCTTGAAGTCACTTTTATCGATATCCACATCATCTGACAAACTTTTATTAGATATATCAAAGATTATGGAGAATGCCTTGTTTTTGTCTGAAGAAGAAATTGTTGAATCTATTGAATACTTTGGATATATATTGGAACACGACAACGATGAAAATTCTTTTGTTTCAATTATTCCTAGATTATATCCACAGATTTTGAAGATAGGAATAACAGAGAATACAATGATAAGAACGAAAACATTCAATTTGATTTCGAAATGTTTGGAAAGAGGAATTTTGTTGTCATTCCAAGTTTCTTCTTTTTTAGTTTCGTTGATTTTTTTCGAAGAAAATCATTTCGAAGTTTTGAATTTGATCAGCAAAATGAATGAAAAAGATCAAAAATTTGTTGTTTCTTCCATTTTGTCTTCGATTGACAGTACAATTGATTTGTACAAAGGAAAGTTCTCTGTTTTCGATATTTTCCACGTTTTGTCACAGAAAAACAAAAACTTTTTCTTCGAAGATTTGAGTGATTTCTTCTACGAATCAATAAATCTCCAAAAGGAACAAAAAATTGTTTCTTTCGTCGTAAATCAGTTGACAAAAACATTTTTCGCAAAAGAAGAAAGTGAAAAGATTCTGCAAATAACGAAGAACAGTTCCCTCTCTTCACAGATATTCCAGATACTCAGAGAATCAAAGAAACAAAATGTGGATTACAATTCAATTTACATTTGCTGTCAAATTTTGTATCTGAAATATTATTTTGAGGGGAAAATAATCGACGAGCCTCCAACTTTTGATGAAGAAAAAATTGACATTCTTAAGAAATATATTTCAATGCTTATGAAACAAAAATAACTTTTAATTTCTAATTAAATCAATAAATACATTTTATTTTTTAAACACGATTTTTTTTGAGATCACGCCCATTTGACATAATCTCTCTCTTTTTGTTTATTTAATTGCGTATTTAATTATAGTTCATTCTGTTTATGTATATCATAGATTTTCCTTCCTATAACAATGTGCTCTCAACAATTTTTTTAATAATATTTATCTGAGTTTATATTTATGGTGTACGTTCGCCCGTCTGACTTTAATTCAAAACTTTGACAACAGGCGTGAATACTTTAAACAATATAATTGAAAGTCATGTCATATGGGAAAAAGTGTACTATTGTTAGTTTTTTAAGGTATGACTCAGTAAACCATTTTGTAATACAAAGAACTCCATAAATATATGAAAATCGTTTGTTCTTATAGTCTATGGATTCACAGTGATTTTTGAATTTGAGGAAAAAAAAGGGTTGATAATTCTCCGCTCACTTGGGAAAGATGAGGATATGCAATATGATTTCATGATAATTGATAAAAATGTAATGATAACCTAATCATTATGTAATCACTTGAGAAAGATAAGGAAATGTTATATTAGAATATTATCTTGTATCTAGAAAAATGTTATATGATAACGATAAACAGACATTATGATATAATTTTATAAAAAACAAAACAAAATAAAAAATAAATCTTATTCGAAGGAAAAACCTAATTTTGCCAAAGTAGCGCTCTGTGGCTTTGGTTTGTAAGTAAAACCGAGGAAAGCGTAGTTTGCGAGCTTCGTAAGTAGTCCATTTGCGCGCAAATCGAGTTTTGTCACATCGAAATGGTCGAAGTGAGCAGTATCCAACGGATCAGAGCAAATAGGCTTCACAGGTGTCTTATTCTGCAGTATATTCTCGAAATCGAAGCCGTTGAAGAACGCGTGATGAATAATTTCTTCGTATCCGTAACGATTTTCAATATCGCAGAGAAGATGACGAAGCAAATCAAGAGCAGACACTGGAACAGGCTTAGATGCAGGGATCCTGAGAGATTTCTTCCAGTTAATGATTCTAAAAACGGTTTCATTTTTGGAATCACTTGAAAATGGGGTAAAACCGTAAAGCATCTCATAAAGAATGACTCCGAGGGACCACCAATCATTCTTGACGTTGGGAGGATCGCCTCTGAGTACTTCCGGCGCAATATAATCAACTGTACCGATAATTGAGTTTCTGTGATGATGCCTTTGAGTTTGGGAAGGCACAATAGGGTTATCATTATCAAGCATTAAGTCCTGTGTCTCGCGGAGTAACTCATCGTAGTCGGCGTCGGATTTTCCGTATGCCGAAGCAATTCCGAAGTCTGTAAGCTTGATATGGCCTGTAGAAGCGATTAAAATATTATCTGGCTTGAGATCGGAATGAATAAAACCAAGTTTGTGCACAGAATTTACGGCTAAAACAATTTCTGCAGTAAAAAAGCGGGCGACTTTAGGAACGAATGTTCCGACTTTAATAAGGGCATTCATTAGGTCACCTCCTTGAACAAACTCTAATATTAAGTACAAATGTTCGTCATCTTGGAATGAGCACTGTAATTGCACAATCCAAGGGTTATGAGCAATTGCTAAAATATCTCTTTCATTACGTGTAGCTGTAATTTGATCGGAAACAATAACGTCTGACTTTCTGATGATTTTCATTGCATAAGGTTGCTCTGTTTTCTTATCTGTGACAAGCCATACATCAGCAAACCCTCCTCGTCCGATTAGAGTTATGAAATTATAATTTTCCGGTCGAATTTTTGACCTTTGAAAACGAGTATAATCTGATTCTTCTCTTGTGAACTCTTGAATGATTTGGTCTTTCTCTTCTTGAGTCAATTCTGTTTGTTCAAGGGATTCTACTAAGCTTTGCATTCTTTCTTCCCTCATTTCTCGCTGTTGTGTCATTTTCATAAAATGTTCTTCCAAATAACGCTTTGCAGCTTCGCTTTTTAGAACAGTTTCTCGAGAAGGAGGATTAGTTTCCACTTTGGGGATTGGCGTTGGCATTGTATTACGCCCAGGGCGCCGCACCATAGTCATGATTTTTTTTTTATATAAGATTTTTTTTGAAAAAGGGATGAAATTTTTCACCCCCTTCAGAAATAAATGTATCATTCTTTTTTTCTTAGATATTTTGGAAATAAAGAGAATGAGTATGGTGAAGACAGATGTGATTTATCTTAGTTAAAAATTTGTAATTTCTGAGTTCATTATGGACTCCTGAAGAAAACTTCAAATGTAAATATTCTTCATATAAGATGATTATTGTTACTAACAATTTTTTCGTGAAATTGCTATTTGTTTTACTAAGAACGTATTTTTTTGTAAACTAAGGCGGTGAGCCTTTAAAGTTGTTTAATAAAAGGTACATTCACTAGGGATCTTTTTTAGATTTTGAAACAATGAAAGGATAGAGTATGCTCAATGTATGCTATATTTAAGTTTATTCATAAAAATATTAATTCTATCATATAGAAAAAGTACATTTAAGTCCAAAAAATTGAATAGTTGTAAACTAAGGCAGTGGGCCTTTAAAGTTGTTTAATAAAAGGTACATTCACTAGGCGATAACAGTAAAATGGGATGAAAATAGGATAAATAGCATCCCTATATAGTGCCTAACAATATTTATACGGGCCAAAAAAAATTTGGCTAGAGATTTGGCGAGTTATCAAACTTAGAAAATTGAGAGGAATTTTTATTTTTGAATTTTTTTTGGAAAGTTAAAATTGCGATTAAAAATCGATTTCCAGGAGAACTAAGCATCTCATCATATATTTAAATCGATAAAAATATTAAATAATAGTTGAATAGTATAACAACGTGAAATTATGGCTGAATCTACAGAAAAAATGAACATATTTGACATTTTTGAAAATTCATACGTTAGATGGTGACAGACTCATAAACTATACTTTAGCTAAGATTGATATATGGTTTCAACAACACATGGTTAAAATCGTAAAAATATTTTAGATTTCAAAAAGATATATATGGTAATATAATGGAACAAAGTCAACAAATAGCATGTTAAATATGTTATAATTAACTTTTTATTAGATCCAATAGTAGATATCGAATGGTTTCCAGCTTTATGGTTAATTATTTTCTTTTCGAGCTTCTCTTTAACTGTTGTATTAAGGTTGTAAATTTTTGATGCTAGAAACTATGGAATCTTCTTTGCTGCTGCATTTTTCTTGAGGGTTCTTGCAATTTCGAATAGATCTGCGCATTGTATGAAATGGAGGCTTTAAAATATCTTGAAAACAGAATAGGACTGCTTTTCCAAAGGAATGCTTACTTGTAAATCAGAGAGTTTCAAAATTGACAGCAAGATTATCATCATAACTTTCGATTTTGCTGCGAAAAAAAGGAAGACAAGTAATTAACAAATCATTTACTGTTGTTCATCAAAAGAAGAAAACTTTGATAACAACTAATGATGATAAAATCAAGCTATCTTTTAATATTTTAAATTGATAAGACATTCAAAATATTTGAATGGTTTAAAATATTTTCTTTTAATTTCTATAAGATATTATCATGATTATATAATAAAATTTAAATTTTTATTCAAAAAGGCAATATTTCAAACTTTTAATTTCAAAAATCTTAATTCTGCAATAAGTGTATTTAATTGTAGCAAATTTAATGATCCTTCGTCATGCTTAGCAATTTGGAACTCATAAATGAATGATTTCTTCAAGTAAAATTCTGTATTATTTCAAAAGTCAATAATTCTCTAGTAACTTTTCTTCAAACCCTAACCATTATATTATATGTATAATGGAGAATAATTGCAAAGAAAGATAGCCGAATTTACTGGGTAGTTCTTGTGATGCGAAATAATTGCAAATTAACACCTAGTTTTAACAGCATCAATCTCTTTTTGCTCTCATTTAAATGCATTCGCACACTTTAATTTTGAAATATAAGGGTTTTGGAAATTATCAAATTTATCTGCTCAAATACTATAGATCTTCATAAGTGTTAATAGAATCATTAGCCTTACATATAGTGTTTAATATAATGATGCACATTATACTAGGATTCATTCCTTATTCATCTAGTTATTATAAGATTTACAACCCCATGAAAATTTAAAATTTTGTCAAAAATAGTGAATGTACCTTTGTTTAATATCATTCATCAAAATTGGATTAAAAGCTTATTGTTGCATAATGTATATCAACATTAGTGTTGATTATATATTTTTGAGTTTTTTTTTAATTATTTGAACATTGAGCATTTTAATGTATAGAAAAAGGAGGCGGTGGAGGTGGTGGTATTCTGTAGGATGAAAATGGATTAAATGATGATCTTGAATTTGAATTTGTTTGAGCGTTTCCTTGTCTAGCAAAAGGAGGTGGCGGTGGGGGTGGTGGAGGTGGCGGTGGAGCTGGCGATATTCTACGAAATGAAAATGGAATAAATGGTGATCTTGAATTTGAATTTGTTTGAGCGTTTCCTTGTCTAGCAAAAGGAGGTGGCGGTGGGGGTGGTGGAGGTGGTGGTATTCTGTAGGATGAAAATGGATTAAATGATAATCTTGAATTTGAATTTGTTTGAGCGTTTCCTTGTCTAGCAAAAGGAAGTGGCGGTGGGGGTGGTGGAGGTGGCGGTGGAGGTGGTGGTATTCTGTCGGATGATCTTGAATTTGAATTTGCTTGAGCGTTTCCTTGTCTAGCAAAAGGAGGTGGTGGTGGGGGTGGTGGAGGTGGTGGTATTCTGTAGGATGAAAATGGATTAAATGATGATCTTGAATTTGAATTTGTTTGAGCGTTTCCTTGTCTAGCAAAAGGAGGTGGCGGTGGGGGTGGTGGCGGAGGCGGTGGAGCTGGCGATATTATACGAAATGAAAATGGAATAAATGGTGATCTTGAATTTGAATTTGTTTGAGCATTTCCTTGTCTAGCAAAAGGAGGTGGCGGTGGGGGTGGTGGAGGTGGTGGTATTCTGTCGGATGATCTTGAATTTGAATTTGCTTGAAAATTTCCATTTCTAATAAATTGTTCAAGATTTGGTGAATTATTATTGTTTATCGTTGTTCTATTCATTGATGGTTGCTGATGAGCTTGCTTTAATTGATTAATCAATGCGTCTTTTTCTTTTAATTGAGATTTCAGTAATTTGATTTCATTTTTACGTATTTCTTTTTTATTTTGAGCGTTATTTAACTTTAATTGCAGTTTTTCAATTAATCTTTCATGATTTTTGATTTCTTTTGCCATAATAGATTCATTATTGTTTTCATGATTTAGAAAATCTATTAGGCTATCTAATAACTTTAGTTTCATATGTTTTTTGAGTGATTGAAGAATTGAAGTTACTTCTTGTGAATTATCGATGTGAACATTTGTTTTTCGAGTATATTCATATAATTTGCGAGCATCAAATGAAGTAGAGGCTTGATCGAGAAGATTGATAAAGTCATTTGAGTTGAAATTTGCCTTTTTCATAATCTTTTTGATGTTTTCGAAATCAAATATATAAAAGAGTTTACCATCTTCGATATAATCTTTAATGTGAGCAGCTATATAATCAAAATCCGGAGTAAGTCGTGACGTTTTTAAAAATTGTTTTCCGATTTCTGACAGTCTCTCAATTTTTCTTGAAACAAATTATGACAGAAAGATATCGCCTTCTATTGATTTTCATCAGTTATCCAATAATAATTAAGGATGTCGCTTGGGGGACAATTGGGGACCCGACCAAATAATTTTGGAACTCTGGGGGACATGTAAAGTGTCAAATATTTTTGTAAATTGTCATAATCGTTAGCCAAAAAATATTATTTACGATTGCTAATAAGGTCGCCAAAAAAAGTGCGGAAAATAAAAACCGCAGTTTGAGTACTTTCTGAGAGTCTGTTCGTCAGAAAGTATACATTTGTAAACTTTCTGACACTAAATTTTTTTGCTCCTTTCAAAGTTTTTGACAATGTCAAAAAGTATACATCGTGGCTCTCAATTTTCCTCTCAAACGGCGGTTTTTTAAAAACGCTCAATTTTTCATCGACCTTATACATAAATAGAGGGATTTTATATCATTGTTCCAAAGGATTAAAAAAAAATTAAAAATAAGAAAAATTATGGATAATTATAAGTTAAATACAACTAACCTCCTAATGTCTGATGCATTTATATGGGTACCAAAGGTTTTTAGTTAAAATCGAGAAATGATTTTTGAAAATCTTAGCCTCATCTCCATTTTAATGGGTTGAATTATATTGTTATCAAAACATAAATATGATTGTATAAAAATATGCATATACCTATATGGGAAGTCACTTTTTTTGCCCCCCACCCATGGGTGGGGGACTGGGAGACAAAAAGTGACGCTTGATGATAGAATTTCGATAGGGATTTTATTATTGGGGAGAAGCTTCCTAAACTTTTTAATCCCATAAATATGGTCATTATCTGGAATAAAGAGTTAAGCGTCATATGTCACTTTTTGTACTAAGGAAACATCGACTTTATGCGTTATGACTTTTCGATGAGGAAACAAGTGTTCACGTATTATAAACTTCCTTATTCCAATAAACCAACCCTAAACATAATTAATTCTAAGAATGATAATGGTCTCTTTTCTATGATAACCAAATCAATTTGGTTATCATAGTAAAGCACCAAAAACAGGAATAGGAATAACCGCGTTTAAACAGGAATAGGCAATATGGAAACTAGAGAAGACTCAACTGATTTTTTAAGCAAATCTTCTTTCTGATTCAAATCTGCTTTGCTCATCTTGTATATTACTGCATTTTTATTAAGATACTTTAATGCATGATCAATGTACATCATTCTTTTAGCAATTTTTTAAATTCATTCTGCTAATTACGTTGAATTTTGTTCAAAAGATATCGTAATTCCATAATTTAATACGTAAAATGTTATTGAATAACTCTGATTATTTCTTTACATGCAAAATGAGTGTGTTCTTTTTTACATTTTTACTCATATTAGATCAAATTTAACCTGATTTAATACTATTAACACTTATTTTAGAGGGGATATACTTAAATCTCTATTGTTTTAATAAAAACTTAAAAAAATATAAAAAATTTTCAAAAATGTTAAAATATACTAGCTTTCAAAGAAAGTAAGTCCTTTTATAAGGAAGACATTATATGTTTAGGAAGGAAATTCCGTGTAATAACCAAAATAGGAAAGAATATTCAATCATTATGAAAGAACTCTATTCTAACAATTTGTGAGACATATATCTTTATAGCGACATAGTTGCAATTCATGTTTTATCCCCTTTCCTTCATTGATTTTAATTAATGCATTCATTCACTGAATATGCATGCTCAAAATCGAACATTTGCCTTACTAATCAACGGACAATGAATGTTTAAAAATGATTAGTATTGAAAAGTAGCTGGAATTTCAGTGTTGTTTTGTATATTTATTCCAAGTGCAAATTTAAACAAAATATACTTATTCAAAGTGCAATGTTTACAAACAATCAATCAATAAAAGTCACATCTTTTTTTCACTGGAAAAAAAATGTTATTTTTTTATAAAGATAAGTATTTAATTACAATAGTACGAATTTAATTTTTAGACTGAAGTTTATTCATTGTTACCGTTTTTAGTCTAAGTTTCTAGGAAATGAGTATTTTATTTTGCAAGATAAAGTTCTTCGATAAAATTAGCATGAAAAATCTTCTTTCGTATAAGAGTAATAATAAGTTTCCGCAAATCTTATTGAGAATAGTACGAGAATTTTGTTTGAAATTTAAATTTTGCATAAATAAAGAATGGATGCAAGAATTTTCCAATTCCATTTTGTTAGAGTTGATTCATGATTCCATATTGTCGATTCCTATTCCTGTTTTTGGTGCTTTACTATGATAACCAAATTGATTTGGTTATCATAGAAAAGAGACCATTATCATTCTTAGAATTAATTATGTTTAGGGTTGGTTTATTGGAATAAGGAAGTTTATAATACGTGAACACTTGTTTCCTCATCGAAAAGTCATAACGCATAAAGTCGATGTTTCCTTAGTACAAAAAGTGACATATGACGCTTAACTCTTTATTCCAGATAATGACCATATTTATGGGATTAAAAAGTTTAGGAAGCTTCTCCCCATTGAAAAAAAGGTAGTGGGGCTTCCAGGCGCGTTGCGCCCTCTAGCCCTGAAGATGTTTAGTATAAATGAAGTTTATATTCGGAGGGCTTCCAGGCGCGTTGCGCCCTCTAGCCCTGAAGATGTTTTTCCCAAGACCCAAGAGGAGGACCGAACCCCAGCCGACCAGCCGTTGACTTTTTTGTGTCGCTTTTCACAAATTATATATGTTTTCATGTTTTGTCACTTTTCAGGTAAAAACATTTTTATTATTATATATAAATGAATTTTACAAAACCACCGTTATCGTTCTTTGGAAATAAGAGTAGATGTAAAGATATTATATTGAGAGAACTTAAGAAACTACCGAATGGTCTAACATTTGTAGATTTGTTCGGTGGAAGTTTCTATATATCCCATTTATGTCATACCGTATTTCCTGACTCAAAGATTATATGCAATGACTTCGACAACTATATGGACCGTCTCAAACATATACCAGACACAAACAATATATTGAAAGAGTTAAAAGAAAAGATACCTATAGGTAAGATGGAACGTATACCATTAGATAAGAAAAATATTGTGAGAGAGGTTTTGAAAAAAGCAGAATATATAGACTGGAATAGTATATCTGCTAGACTATTATATAGTGGTGCTATAAGAGTTCATGACATTGAAACACTTATGTCAAAAGTTTTATATCTTAACTATACAAATGTTTTCAAAGAGAACATAGAAAAATATATTGAGGGTATAGAGTTTGTGAGATGTCATTGGACAGAGTTGTATGAAAAATATAAAGACAAGGAAAATGTTTTCTTTATAGTGGACCCGCCTTTCTATAACACATGGGATTTTCAATACCAAGTAGACTGGACTTTGAGAGACTCTTTAGAAACTTTAGACGTTATACATAACCATCCATGCTTTTACTTTACATCCGATAAAAGTGGTTTGGAAACCGTTATGAGATGGTTAGAGGACATACATGACTATGGTTTATATATGACAAGATAGAATATGAGAGAGGTCCTATAAACTGGAGAAAGTGTCACAATAAAGAAATTTTATTAGTAAGTAAATGTGGTTTGAAATAGGACTACTTGTTTTAGGTATTTTCCATTGTGTCATTTATTTATTTGACGTGGCAGAAAAGTACAGAGAATATGAAGATGAACCAATGCCTGTAAATGTTCAGTATATGTACTCGTAAGAGATATTTTTATCTAATATTAAATGGACGCACAGAACTTAGCGAATGCACAGCAACCTGGACAACCAAACCCAGAGAATATTCCAAATGAAGTTAGAATACAAACTGCAATGGCAAACTATGGTCAAGTGCCAACAGATGTACAAATGCAAACTGCCATGTCAAATGACGCTGCGTTAGGTTTGCCACCATGGTATGCAAATATGAGATGGAAAGAGTTTTATACAAACCCTGAAGTGGGATATAAACAACTTTATGCAGATGACGCGAACACAGGAGTTGACCCAGAATATGTTTTCTACCAGAGGAGAAACAGAATGTATGAGCTCCAGTTAAAGAATGCTATGGAACTCAACAGGAAACGTAAGAGACTAGGCGGACATTAGATTTTTACACGTAGTAAATGGGTTTCTTCAGTAGTATTGGAAACTTCTTCAGAAAAGTTGGAAGAGGTATATGGAATGGAATAAAATCTGTCGGAAGAGGAGTATGGAACGGTGTCAAAAATATTGGTAAAAGAGTAGGTCAGTTTGTTGGTATTATACCTAAAGACCCTGAACCAGAAGAACAAGCTCCTGTTATACAACAGCCTGAACCTGCACCACAGTCTAGTGGCACCAAATCCAACACCTCAACCGTATTAAAAAATTATATTTTTACCGTTCGATAGTAGTTGTATATGAAACTAAGTTCTAAGTAAAACGCATGGTATAATGGAATTATTCTTTTTCTTCCATCTGTAGTAAACCATACTTGAAAGTCTGAAATACTTCCACTTGGTGGTTCGTATAACTTTGTAGGTTTTTCGTAAAAGTCATTTGCCAAGCATAAGAAAGAGTTTTGGGCGCCAGAAAATGAAGCATGAACAATAATAGCATCTTGGTCGAAAATATTTTCATATGTTCCATTAGGGTTTTCGACTTCATAATAGTCCGGGTGTACTGGATATGCTGCAGGCTGATTTAACATCCTCATAAATCTATACCATGCCAAGTTGTTATATTTTGTAGAAATATAAACGTTTTCTCCAAGGTCTTCTATTTTATTGATTTTAACAGTTGCATTTTTCCTGTCATAAATAATATCGAGATGGTATTCTCCCTCGTCAATGTTATACTGGTTTGCATATTCGATGAAAAGCTTGAAGAGTTGTTTCTAAGTTTATAAGCAAATTAACTTGTAAAAGTTTTCCTTGTTCAAATTTCTCATACATACGTTTTTCTTTGTTATAGTATCGAACTTCAAAACCGACCGTAAATGGGAAACCATGTATGGCTTCTGAAATGAACTTCATTCTACGAAAGCCAATAGCTTTTGTGACAGATGGGTCTCTTAACCATCTTAATGGGTAGTCAAAACGATAGCCTTCATGCTTTACGGTATCTGTCTCAAACTTTTGACCGACATTAGTAAAAAGTTCATCTAATGGTTTAGTTGTAGCAACTCTAGAATTTTCTTTTTCTATTGGAAGCATATTTTATCTATAATAAAAATGTCAAATGAAACAGCGTCTATGAGAGAAATACAACACAACCGACAACTCATTATGCAAGCTCTAAATAAGAACACAACAAACTTTTCAAACTATTCTAAGATATCTGAGTCATTGAAAGGGGGTGACTTAAAACTGACAATAAACCCAATGACAGATGAGTTTCTATTTCAAGACAATAAGAACAATACTGTCTGTATAAATCCAACAAAAGGAACTTTAAACGAGAAACCTATAAATGAACTTCTTTTGAAAGCAGATGTTGACAACAAAGCTGACAAAGAATATGTAGACGATGCAATAGCAAAAGAAGAAGAAAGAGCTAACAATGCTTATGCTATAGATCCGTATTTTTCCCAAGTGAGCGGGGTATCTCCAATCCCAGCCCTATCGTCCTCCCAGTGTCAGTTTTCAATATAAAATCCAAATTTTTTTTGAAAATAAAAATTTCGAGAAATTTTTTTGATTTTTTTCTTTGATTTCAATAATTCAAAATAAATTTGGGAGTAAAAAGACACTATTTAATGAAATTCATATGAGTGAATGTGGATAAATACTCTCAAAACATACAATTTATCTATTTTTTCTTTATATTATCAACTAATTAGTGATAATTTTTTTTGAATCAGATTTTTTTTTCATTAAAAACATAATATATAACACAACAATGATGCACACATACGTATCTACACATCAAAATATAAAGCTTGTTTTGGTCTGGGCATCCCAACCCAAAATTCTTAAAAAATTGAATAAAATTGAATACTTGGGGCTGGGATACCCATCCAAAACCGAATTGAATTTTTTGAATTAAAGAATATATTTATGTATTTATAATATACATGTGATGTCTATAAAAAATACTAAATTCTAAAAAAATTCAATTTATTCAAAACGTATACTAAGTGATCACTTCATTAGTAGGATCAGCAATCCTACTAAATGGTGAGAACGCCACTAATAAAAAGGGAGTCCTTGGAGCTCTTGATCTCTTGTCAGTAGAGTTCATAATGAGGCATGGCATCTACTGATTTGAGATCAGAGCAATCCTACCTTACCTTCAGGAGCTACAAAGCTCCTAATCGTTACGAGAGGGAGCCTTGGAGCTCCTGAAGCTCATCAGCAGAGGCTATTTACCATTTGGGCCTCTTCTGATGAAAGATGCGAAACACATCTACGAACAGGAGCTCCAAAGCTCCTAATCCTTACGAAAGGGAGCTTTGGAGCTCCTGAAACTCCTTTTACTATAAAATAGGACAGTTTTCTTCTGAGGTTCTCATCAAATCTAAGACTTCAGAAGAAAAGCTGTCCTATCAATGTATACTTACACTCTCATGGACTACAAGTGTACAATTTTAAGGCAGAGATTATCCGAGGCCTCTCATCAAATGAGGGACCTCGGATAATCTCTACCTTAAGTAGTCAAATAACTTTTCTCACTATTTAGGAACAAAAGAACAAGAGTTGGAGTACTTTAAGGCAAGATTCTTCCGAAATCTCTCATCGAATGAGAGACTTCGGAAGGACCTTGCCAAATCCTTGAACGCCAATATCCTTGGAACTGAGCTAGAACCAGGGAGAAGTAGCATACTATAGAGCACGATGGTAATCTCGGAAATGCTTATATCGCCCCAAGCACAATATTTAAGAAGTCTAACTCATATATACAAGAAGTCAGGCTGAATAGATATTGTGCATATGGTTTGCAGAACTCTCATGATATTTAAAATTCATGTTATCCCAAAAAAGGTGACACTTTGGGTGTATCGTCCATCCCAGGGATGCAAAAATCACATCACCTTGGATCTATACTTATGCAACAAAAGAACATACTCATCCTGAACTAGCAGACAAAACATATGTTGACAATAAAATGTCAAGTGAAGTGACAAGAGCTGAAAACGAATATTCTAAAAAGACTCATATACATTATATTAACCAAATACCAAGTCTTAAGGAAACATTAGAGACAAAAGCAGATAAGACTCATACACATTCTATATCTGATATTACAAACTTACAAGAAACCTTAAACAGGAAAAGTGACGTTGGACATACACATTCTATATCTGATATTACAAACTTACAAGAAACCTTAAACAGGAAAAGTGCCGTTGGACATACACATACCATTGCAAATATTACAAACTTACAAGAAACCTTAAACAAGAAAAGTGACGTTGGACATACACATTCTATATCTGATATTACAAACTTACAAGAAACCTTAAACAGGAAAAGTGACGTTGGACATACACATACATCTTCTGAAATAACAGACTTAAACGTTAGCCTTGAAAATAAAGCAGATAAAACATATGTCAATGAAATATACCAAAGTTTGATAGGAACAAAAAATATTGAAACTATTGTTGGTGACTTTTCTGTCAATGAAGAAAATAAATATTTTAGATGGCAGTTGGTACAGTCCTTAGAAAATGGTACACGGTATAAACTCATTCCGAAAAATAACAATGAAATGTATGTAAGCTATAAAAAGAATGATGGTACACAAGTTAAAGTTCCATTAGACAATAACTGCTACTTAAACTTATATGGAGACGAACAAAAGAAATATTTAAGAGTTTATGAAATGGCAGATATGACATTGCCTGACCCAGCTCCAGCACCACATTATTATGACTATGGAGATGACGACAGAACACCACATGTAGATGAACAAAAGCTAACATTATATTTAGATTATTATAGATATAAAAGATATAATGCAATAGAAAAAACGAGAATAGTATATTATTATACAGATGACAGAAATAAATATTATAGTCAAGATTTTACCTACCCTGAAAACATAAGATTATATTATAAAAAATATTCTGACACAAACCAGAAGAAACCTGAAATAGTTGCACTATATAGGGTGTCCAAAGGTGTGTTTAGCACAAACCTGAATACTGCGAATAGAAATAAACAAGTTACATATATATAAAGTTTATTTAAATATAATCACCATTGGATTCAATCACGCGTTCGCAGCGATCGATCCAGGCTTGAAAGACACGCTTTAAATCATCATGAGAAAATTGCTCAAATTGCTCTCTACAAAATTTTCAAGATCATCTGGACTCGCGAATTCGCGTCCTTCAGCTCTCTTTTTTAGCGTGCCGAATAAATAAAAGTCAGAGGGTGCAATATCAGGTGAATAAATTGGGTTTGGAACAACTTTGACATTGTTTTCCACCAAGTAATTCATTACCTTATGACTTTTGTGAACTCTTGAATTATCAAAATGAATTGCAAACTTTTGTTTTTGTTATTTGGATTTCTCAAACCCATCAGAATTGATAATTTGAGTAAGAACATTGTCAATTAGATACTGAGCATTCATCGTATTAGGTTTTGAAGAATATCAATTGCGATGATGTCATTCACGCCCCAAAAACCGACAACATAATCATTGGTGTGTCAATTTTTTTCTTTCGGGAATGTTTGCGGATTTTCATCCTTCGGGGATCCACATGATTTTGGCTTCTGTTGCATATTTGAAACCAAGACTCGTCCCTGTTACTAAAAAGCGAAACTTCTTGGATTGATACGCACGCAATATAGAGAGGAGCTCTTTCGAAGATTGGACTCTAGATTTTTTTTTGAACTGAATAAGGTTGTGCGGAACCCAACGTGTATACGCTAGTTTTGTAGTTCAAATATAATTGTGCAGATAATAACTGACTGTTGTACGTGGTATTCTTTGTCATCTCCTCTTCCTTCTGAGTGATGCTCTTGGGTTTTCATCTAGCGCTTGAAGAATTGCTTTGATTTTTCTTTGATCCGGCGATTTTTTGTCAATTTTTATGATGGGCGCCTTTTTGTTCATGAAGTGATACATCCTAACATGATACGTTACAGTGGAATAGCTAGGAGCATCCATACTGAAGCATTTTACCAATGTCTCGTAGATTTTTTACAGTCTTTGCATTTTTTTGCAAGAGCGAGGATGTTTTCTTTATGATTCATTAAAAAAATGAAAAAAATCCCGCCAAAATTTCCCGCGAAACCGCCTCTTGTCTCAAAATTCATTTTATATCCCGGCATGGCGCCAAAATACAACATACTCATCATATACATATATTCATATTTTTTATTATATATTTATAATCAGCATATATCTCCTTTAATAGTCTCATATAGAGCGCTGTGCTAAACGCACCTTTGGACACCCTATATTTTAAGTTCAAAAGAGACAATCCTATAATATCTCATATGTTTGATTTAATGAACCCAGTAGGTTCTATTTATACATCTATGGATGCAAGAGGTCCTCAAGTAATGTTTGGTGTTGGTGCATGGGAACAAATAGTCGACAGGTTTTTGTATTGTGCAAACTCTTCAAAGGAAACAGGTGGAAGTAAAACGATTTCAGGTGAAAATTTACCTGCACACAGTCACTACATAGATTTAAGTACATCTCAAGCAGGTTGGCATAAGCATAGATATTGGGATTGGTCAGGAATGACAAAAGGTAAAGGATATGATGTTAAAGACGACGTTATGTTTGCTATAAATTGTTACTGGAGTGACACTTCAGGAGGAGAAGGAAACCAATACACATTTCGTTTCGGGATTATAACAAAACACGGGACAAAGTAAAGAATATCATGCCACCTTACATGACAGTTTACGCATGGTATAGAATTGCTTAGTCTTCATTTTTCAACTTCTTTAGCATATTCGTCAGGAGTTGTCTTATATTTGTTAGGAACTGTTTTTGAAAGTATACCACCTTGAACTTGACAAGTTTGAAACGAGGTCTGGCAATAGTAGTTTTATCTTCTGCTTGCAGCGTTTACATTTTGCCATGTTTGCCTTAAACTTCATAATATTCTCTTGTATACTTTCTTCTATTTTACGAAACACGAATGTGAGTACCTGTCGGGTTCCCATTGTTGTCAATAGTCAATAGTATTTTCATATGGGTCCGCGTTTAGTATTTCTATTTTTACTTTGTCACCTTCTGAAGTTTGAGCCCGGCATTCTTTCTTGTTTTGTCTCTTTTGACTAAATTATTAATTATCATAGTCTTTCTCTAAGTCAGGGTTGTTTTTTTCATTTCTTCGGGGGAGTGGTTTCCCAAACCTTTTTGTTTTACGGTTATTTGTAAATATTTAAAACTTGTCTCATCTTTGCCATGGAGAAGTGTCTATACTTGTCGTCATATGACATTTCATTTGCTTCACCACCTTTGGTGGTGGTTTAAGTCTCTTACAATTTTTATACAACCGTCAATGACACCCAGAGCAGAATGGTTTTTGGTCGACAATGAAATATTGGTTTTACATTTTTTGAACGCAGATAGTTTTTTACATCATCTGATTTGAAAAACTTTCACAGTCAGATGTCAGTTTTGTTGGATGGTATTTGTCAACGAATATTGTCAAAGCAGTTTCAACATCTAAAAATATTTTTGGACCATAATGGTATAGTCATGTGATTTTATCCAAGCATATGGGGATATCCTCT